CTATCTATTTATCTATCTATATATATATATATATATATATATATATGTATGTTCAATTCATTGACTGTATGTATTTGTGAACCGACAAGTGTATGAATTTAATTGCTTTTAAATCCAATAGAATTAGTGCTAAATAGACTTTAGCTTCATGATTCTGTTATTCAAGTTAGTAAGGAGTGATAGCTTTGATATGAAATTATATTACGTTGTTTTGCCCGCGTTCAAATAGCGTTTACTAATAACGTTCTCAATAGCTGCTACAATGACTTCAATAAATTTAGTCAATTATTTTTCAAATGCGTATCCTCTCACCAGTTATTGTAAATGCTTAAGCTACGGCTATTATCATTTGTGTAATGAAAATATGGCAAAGTATCCTGTATAAAACAATTTCCTTCTCAGACATGGCCACCATTTATTAATTAAAATTAAAGAGATGCTAATTATTCATACATGATATAGCAATAGAATTACTATTTATATTCCTTATATAATAAAAAAAGAATATTCAATATAGAAATAATGTCAATACTATTTTTACTTTAATCCGTTTTAATGTTTTACCTAGTAAAATCGAGCATTGCCAAATGTACTCACAGCATTTCCTCTACTTTTCTATTCCCAAACGTAAAATCTTTTCATCCAAGATTTTATGCACCTTTTGCAATTTCGGACTAGGAAAAAATCTTACAGGGCCGATCAACGATCAAAAAGGAAATTTAAACATTGTCGCTTGAAAGATTAGCACGCGCAGCCACAAGGCATTTAATAAAAATTGATAAAATAGGAGAGCTCAAGGCTAACCAATGGCCCTTCTCCAAGCTTTCTTCAAGCGCGAATCGCGAAAAAGAAAAAAAAAACTGGTTGGAGGACGGCAAAAACAAAACGAAGTGACGCCGAGCAAACTCAGCCATGTCCTGAAGCCGATAAGTGGCTCGTGAGTGGATTATCGCCGGCCGCTAGTGCAACTGACAGCCGAGACAAGTGAGTTGATGAAGTGATTTTGGGATATTCGTTGATTCATACAGGCTCGTTAGCTCGTTAGCGCCGAGTGGCCCCGACGTTGTGTATCGCGCCCACGAAATACAAGCGAACGCTAACGGCTAATAGAAAAATCTTGTAGAACGCCCTTCCATCTCCTATACGCGAGCGCGAGAATTCATTGTAAAACGTCAACGCATTGCCCAGGCACTCTATGATCGATGGTACTCCCTCGCGTTTCTTTGTTTGGCCTCTAAAATTTCTGGGAATGAGAAGTCACCCTTACGTCATGGATATATCAGTCTAAGCCGTGAATGCGCCGCCATTGGCAATCGGATTAGAGGCATTTTTACTTGGGTTGCACTGCGATTCTACTATCTCAGAATTATTTCTTCACATATCCAAGTCAATTCCCCTCGCACTTGTCGTCTTTAGTGACAAATGTTTGACAACGCACACGCACAGAGAGATAAATAGATACATAGATAGATAGATAGATAGATAGATAGAGAGAGAGAGAGAGAGAGAGAGAGAGAGAGAGAGAGAGAGAGAGAGAGAGAATGAAAGAGAGAGAGAGAGAGTAGAGTTATAACAAAATTAGATTTTGCTTTACTTTTTAACAAATTGTAATTTTTTACGATTACTTTTGTAAGTTCCGAATAAAATATACAAACTTTCTTTTTCTATTGAGTGCACATGATTTAAAAAAAGAAAATTTTATACATAAAATCTGTAATTGAATTTTAAAAATTTATTCATAAAAAATTTATTCGAATATCTCACACGTAAGATTTAATCGAGTTTTCGTAGTAAAATTTATTAATATTATATATATTATTAATTCACATATTTATATTCCTGCACTATGTATTATCACTAAGTTTATTAAAATGTAAATGCTTAATTTTTTTCTCGAAATAATTAATTTATTTTATAAATTTATTTAATTGAAACAATATATTTCTATACTACAAACAACATTTCAATGCTATATTTATATATTGTATTTATATTTCTAGAAAATAATCAATTTAAGTAGTATATGGTGCGCGTATTTTTCACCACCACATAATATTTTGTATCTGATAATGAAATAATAATTTGAAGTTTAGTAAAGGTATATATATATATATACGGTTGTGTATAAGAAGAGAAGTAATATAAAAGCAGATGTATGTTTTCATGATATTGAAATGTTGGGAAATGAGAGATTTTTTGAAAAAAAAAACCAACATTAGAAAAATAGTAAGATTATATATATAAATATATATAGCATATACTATATTTGTCATCTTTAACAGCTTTCCATCAGGAAATTCGCGCTCTTACGCAAGCACGAGTCTGCGGGTAAAGTCTGTCGACAAACAAACCACTGCGGTCATTCTTTCAGTAATTACTACTGTAAAGCTTCTGCACGTCAAGACTTGTTCGAAGAGTTAAAAAAAGGAGCCACAAGGGAAAACGGAGGAAGAGGAGCAGATTGAACGTCGAATCGTTGAAAGCCAAGCATCGGGGTTTATAAGTGGCGCGAGAGAATAGAACCTTTCAAGGAATAATGCACACACAGTCCTGGGAGATTGGGAAAGAGACAGGCGATGGGAGAAACGTTAAAATAGAAAAAGAGTGAAAATAAGAATGAGTGGGAGAGGCAAGCTCATAAGAAATGCTGATTGCCTTCCCTTTCTTTCCTCATCTAAGTACCCTTTTTCTATTTTTTTCTAGATTTTTTTTTTATTCATTTTTCTTGCATCATTCACCTCAATTTTTTAATGTGTGTCTGTATTTTGTAAGGGAAGCGCTAGAGTGCGCTTCTATCACATCGTTCCATTAATCTTCAATTGCCATCTAATAATATCTATTTAAAAAACATTGTATGTCTTTTACAGTAATTTACTAATACCAATAAAAGTTTCGGATTGATTAATATTAAAGTGTATTGGACGATTACCAATATAAATTTGAAATTATTAATAAAATGCAACGGATGGATTATCTAGGATTATATATATATATATATATATACATATGTATTTATGAAAAGTATGTTCCATTAAAATATTGTAACAGGCTATTTATCTAATACACATTTAATAATGAAAAAGCTCATTATATATTCTTCTTTGCAGCATAATTTTCCTCGTTGTTCTAGATGATTCAATATTTTATTTCTTTTTTGCACATTGCGTTGGTCTTGAAGTCTCTCAATTGTCATCAGTCATTGAAATGTCAGAAATTTCTGTGCGTGCACGAAACTGTAAACTGAAGAGATAAATTATTACTGGTACGTGTTTATATAACTGAACAAATGACTTTAATAGGTGAAAAAGAAATTTTAGTCTATAATATCCCAAAATTAAAAACCGTTCGTTATTCTCGTTTAAAGAATGTCACGTAAATATATAATTTGAGTAATCAATTAAATTTAAAATCAATTTACCTGTATATTTTTGGTATTATTTATTCTAGTAGTTATATATAATATACTTAGCCGCCGTATAATATATTGTGCTTATCCAATCGAAGATTAAATAAATATTTTGTTAACAATATATAATGCAAACGATAAAAAATACTTGAAAATATGGAAATTACGTGGTAATATTGTTTTCCCATACTTTGTCTTTTAGAAAAATAAAAAATGATTTAATTATAAATATTTTCAATTATAATATTTATTTTAATATATATATATATATATATATATATATATATATAAGAAAATCTTTTTTATTATATTATCCAGTATAATGTTAACTTTTTTACATTTTCATTCTTTTTTTGATCTGATTTATAATCAAGATATCTTATCAATTAATTATATAATGCAGTAAAAATTAGCATTTCTTAAGATACTTAGAAAGTAGCCGTAATATAATGAAATATTATAAAAGGCAATGCCTTGATGCCTGATAACATTAATTTTCTTGTGAATTAAATTTTGATTCTTTATTTTTTAATCACAATTATAGACTTTTATACATAGTAGTTTTATCGGCCATATTATTTATTATTTTACGAATCAAATTAATTATCTTTTTTACGAAAATTCGCATGAAAAGTATATCGTTTGATTGACATTCATTGTTAAGAAATTTGCACATAGGGAGAAAAAATGTCCAGCTAGGTGTGATAAAGTGATGAATTAAAAGCTTCGCTTAATAGAGTTTTTACAAAAGAGCTTGCCAGGTGACAGTAGAAACGAGAATTTCACAGCATTAAGAGCTCGTAATTGATACGGCTAATTGCGTTGCTCCTTCATAATTGCAATCATTAAAATCTATAAGTTTACTGCGTCTCCAAAAACTGCCGAGGGAACTTTGCAATGAAGTAGCTATAGCGTTCCAGCAATAAAAATGTAATTTCATGAATTTTATATCCTTGTCTCTCCCAAAATACAAATGTTTTATATCGACCCGAAGAATTTTCTAGTCTTTTATCGTCGTAAGTGGACAAATCACGGGATAGTGCCGGAAATGCCCGATTCGAACGAAAATTTATTGAGAGGGTGGATCTAAATTTTATCTTTAAGTTTGAATTTTTCTGTAAATACTTCGGTCGGCAATTTAATACATGTAAAATTCACAGTATTGTCAAAACCTTGAACAGACATTATTCTCCCTCATTTTAATTATACTTATTTAGGCATTGTAGATGAAACTTTAACGAAATTCTATTTTCTACATAAATGCGCGCGCGCGCGCTAGTTAGCTGCGCAGATTTACTGAAAATTAGACATTCCACAATTGTTATTTGGATCTACTGGTTTATTTTTAAACCAATGTGAATGAAAGATGACAATTGCAACGCATTGTAAATGAAAAGCAACGCGACTATATGGAGGTACTTGGCTTACGCCAAGATCATCAAAATAGCATCGTAATTAACCGGAGTATTTGAAAAATGACAATTTTCAATATCGCGTCATAATTACGGCCAAGTCTCATTAAGATTCGATAATGATAACATGGCATAAATATAATTAAAAGTCCATTAAAAAGGAGGGAAATTTTATTTTGCAGAGGGACAGGAGCCGATAGATGGAGAGGATGGCTGGGGGGCAATGGAGCGGCTGGTTGCAACGCTGTCGCGAATCACGAAGTCTAGTCCTCGTGATCGTCGCCATAGCCTTGTTACTAGACAATATGCTACTCACTACCGTCGGTAAGTAATTTGCACTTTATATTTACCTCGTTAATTATTTAGCCGATTATACATTACCGAGCACTTTAATGAACAGCAAGCAACGCTGCTAATAAACATTATTCATATCCTGTTCTGCGGATGAGTCCACAGTCACCGGAGCGTTTATAGAAAGCGTTAAGAGGAAGATTAATCAGAGATTGTATTTGTGATTTAAATGCCTTACTTTGTGATTTTTGAGACCTAGGATAAGTATAAAAGTTGAATCCTTGCTCGAGAGATACAAAGCTACATGTTTCTTTCCTTCTATATTTTCTCTTCTTTACCTTTCTTTTTCTTTGTTTCTTTCTTTCTTTCTTTCTTTCTTTCTTTCTTTCTTTCTTTTTTTTTCGTTATAATTATATATAATTATATATAATATATAATTCATCGTTCTGCGATTCCGTAAGTGCGCTACGTGGTAAGACGAGTATAAACAATAAACGCGATGATCAGTATTTTCTTAATATGAGAATTTATCAAGGGTTTTGTTTAATTGTGACCTAATTACTATCGATTTCTTTAATCCAATGTCAGATTATAGTTACTTCATTTACAATATAAATATTGCAATTAAAATGGTGGATTAAATTTTCGATCAAATATAAATTAGAATTTAAACGAATCCAGCGATTAAAAATAAATTGAAAAGCTGTTAATAATAAGATTCATCTTTTCTGGTATTAAGTAAGAGAAGCTTTTTTTTGTTTCGAATGGCTTCAAGATAACTTTTAATGAGTAGTTTCATCCTTGGAATATCCAAGTCTCACTCATTTGGACATGTGCGTCGACAACTACGGATCATTTCTCGGTAACTTGCTCCCATAGCCTCTCTGGAATTTCTTGTTGCACGGTCTGTCGCGATAAATGAAAGAAAATGAAGAAATAAAAGACACTTGAACGGAAGTGAAGAAGTGCAATTAGACGACTGATGTAAATGCGGTTTGCGCGTGCGCGCGATTCTTTTAACAAGCCCAGGCTCGCCATTGAATCATTCTCGCTTTAAAAGCTTCATATCGTCAAAGCGTATAAAGGAAAGGCGGAAAGTAAGCTTGAGAGTAACGAAGTAAGTATCTCCTGTAGATAATTAAAATCTTTATTTAAGTACTTTAAGTTCAGCAAACTCCCCGTTTTACATTGGTGCCACAATTGTTCAATTAATAGTTATTACATCGCTTCTACAGATAATACTTTATTATTATAATGAAGAACCATACTGTTATCGCTATTGTAGTGCGGCTGATATTAACAGCTGTCAATAGCGTTACTGTATCAATCGAAAGAATATTTCATTTATTATAAATCCATGTCAATTAATGCTTACATCTTAAATATTTGTTAAAATGAGATTTCAATTTTCTATCAGTGACAGCTTTATATTTCACTTCCTAGTTGACTTACACGTTAACCTACTTGACTTATCACCATTATAATAATGATCTACATAATATGTTTACATTATTTATACAGCATTATCGTTTACATTACAATAATAATCTTTTATTATATTATGCATAATGTATCAACTATTTTAATTATTATTACGTATTATTCGTAAACTATCTTATCTTATTGACTTCTTTAAGCAATATAATATTTATGTATGATTGCAATTATATATATACATATATATATATATATATATAGAAAGGCTATTATAAAATTTAAATATAAATTTATAAAATATAAAATTATTGATAATTCAATATTTCATTATTTTAGCATTAACAAAGATATTCTATTTATATTAGATTTCCATTGTCTGATACACCAAGATGATGCATTAATCTTACTAAATTTTTCATTTGCAATTTTTAAGCTATCATCGTCACAATTTAATCTCACTATGGCGGTAATATATCCAGTATTTTCTTCACCTTAAAATCTAATCCTCTTCATTCTCTTAATAAATATTCTATTTAACTATATGAATAGGACAATCCAAATTATATTAATATAAACATATCATTACATGAGCTCTTTTATATTTTTTTCTATAATTATAAACTTGTTTCTGCAGTAATAAAATTCTATAATTTTTATAATAAATAATTCATTATAATCATCAGTGAACGTATGATATAATTATTTTTATATATAATCTCAATATAGAATAAAAATCGTTTTTCAACGAACGACTAAAACTGCATTGATCCTTTGTAATGCCTGCTATGCTCCTTTTAAAATATTCAAGAACATATTCAAGATATTCTTTATGCATATAAAGAGGAGATTCGACAAAACAATTTTGCTTTATTTCATCGTTTTAGCTTTTAGTTAATATTTCATATAAGATAAATTCTATACATGTGAGAAATCATTCTTATTCGATTTAAACTTAATTTTTTTAAATATCAGCTCATTGATTTTCCAGTTGTAGTATTTTAGATTTATTAATTATTCATTTAAAATTTGTGTGCATATAAGAAACATTTCAAAATATTTTTCAACGCGATATTAATAAACTTTTAGTAATTTATCGCAGCTAGTTCAAGATTGATCAAATAAACAATTTATTTGTATCGAGGTACTCCCATTCTATTGTATCCGATGAAATTTAAATCAGAAAGTTTTTAATTCTATATTAAATTCATGAATATATTAAAAATTTTAATTTTTTTCTTACATTTCAAAAATTTCAGTTATTGATTTTTATATCTGTACTTTGCAATTTTATTGCAATTTATCTATTTTTTAAATATTCAAATTTTAAGCTTATGTTTTGTCTTCATGTTGATAGTCAATATATTGTTAATATACATTTTATAAATTATACAACTCTATTTTTTACAATTAATATATAAAAATTATGACTATTAGTGACTTGTGAATTCATTAAATTATAAATTTGATTAAATCTATTATCACTTTTATTATAAAACGTAGTTCGATATTACTTCTAGTTCATTGCTGTTCGCTATTCTTGAAGTTATCGAGTACTTTGTAACCATTAGAGATTTCAATTTAAACCTTAATCTACTTTGTATTTTTCTTCAAATTTTCATATTTAAATTTATATTTTATTAGAAAATTGTATTTTTATATTTACTTATGTATAATACAGGTTTATCGAAGCTACTAATCTAATATTATCATAATGATAACGTACTTTTCAACGATCTACATTTGAAGTATTTATACGATATTCGTTACAAAAACCAAAAAAAAAAACAAAAAAAAAAACAAAGAAAGAAATTCGATTTCGTCATCTTTTGTTAAATGATATCTAAAAATTATCGGATCTTACCATATACGTAAATATCGTTATGCTAAACATATGCATTTTTAATAACTAACGCTTGGAAGTTAATTAATTTTATTAGATCTGTAACTTTTAATTTAATATTATCCCATGAAAAATTTAACATCTAATCATATGTAATCTGATCATAATTAATATCCAATTCTAAGGAATTCGTTATCTATGAACATATAATAGAGCAATCGAAAAGGAAATATCAATTCTCAGATTTGATATAAATATTAGATGAATATATTATTCATCTGTTTGTCAAATCATTCAATCGCATCTACGCTCGCACACATGCATATACGCAGAATGGGACAGACAGACAAACAAATAAAGAAAAACGGATAGAATTTTATAGAATTTGTAACGAATGAATATTCTTCAATTATATTTGACAATAATAAGGGTTAAGAATATTTTCTATACACACTTCTGTACAGAATGTGTGCTAAAATTTGAAAATCAAGTACTATTTTTGTTTTCCTTTCTCTTTTTTCTTTTTTAAATTATTTATTTTAGCCACTTGCAATGCATACTTTCAAGAAGCTTTTATGTGAAAAATTGAATATTGTCATCGATTTAAAAGTAACAAGAACATTGTCCACCCTGTCACACTCATTATATTTCCATATTAATATATTATCCCGTGGTCAGTAATAAAATAAAAAAAAAAAAAAAAAAAAAAAAAAAAAAAATAATAATAATAATAATAATAATAGATAAAAGACAAAATAACGGAGTGAGCATATAATCGATAGCACAACGTAATAGAGCTTCTTTGAAAAATCGGTTAAAACGTATAATAAAGTATCTGGTCGCATCTTATATAGGGGAGAGAAATGGTTATGGTGGACCTATAACAACGTTCGCGCAAACTCTACCTTTTCACAGGCTGTTAGCACTTCTATCTATCGCGCGCGGTTTTTCCTCGTTTCCGCTCACCGAAGCACGAACGGACGCCGATAGCGAAATTTCGAAGTTGCGGGTTTTCACCATGTATGCACTTACATACGTACGGTACATACTTGTAAAAGCTACACGGGGTCGAATGAATTTAGGTATTCGTGTACGAGTCAAGTGCTACTCGACTAAGACCACCTTCGAGGCTTTACTTACTTTTGTCATTTATAAGTAATGAATACTGAGAGGTGAAGAGGTTGTAAAGTCCCATGAATTCTCTATTAAACGGCTTTTATTAAGATTTTTTTATTTATATTTTTCACAGGAAAATTTATACTAATCAACCATACTGAATATCACACGAGATAACAAAACACTTTAACGCTTACATTATTTCCGGCTAATTTTAATGACAGCACCGCGATTGTAATTCATTTTTTATTTGTATATTTCGAGTGTACATTATGCGCAAAATGTATTTTCACATGTACTTTCGTGAATTTTCTCTAATGACTGGACATTGCACATAAACGCGAATATCAAAGAAGTGTCTCTGCTCAAAGCACTAGACTATTAGGTGAAAATTCATTGTCATGGTAGCCATTAACTTATTTAATTCTTTATCGATGCAGCACATTTTTATTGGCAAGTTCGAGATTATGAGAATGTTAGCTTCGTGTTTTCTTGCAGAATTAGCCGAGTATTAAGACGAGGTTAATGATAAATTGCATCGACTTTCAGCATGCCTGCTACTAATAATTTCTCATGGAACGTGATTTTTTAATCGAAGAAAGCGGGACAAAGAGTGAAAAAATGGAATGGCGCTTAATATCCCGTTGAAGCGATGAAATTGGCAATCTTATTATAGAATATAAGTCAACATAATACCACAGCAGTTGTACTGCGTCGTTCTGCTCCTACGATAGGCTACTTAAGTGAACGAAAAAGTGGAAGAATGATATATATATGTGTACAGTTGGATAGATAAATAAAGAGAGAGAGATAGAGAGAGAGAGAGAGAGAGAGAGAGAGAGAGAGAGAGAAATGCACAGAGTACCGAGGATTTGTCATGATTAGGGTAGAAAAGTCCTTTTCCACTAGAAAACAATATCCCTCGGGAATATTATTTATTACTCGAAGTTCATTATGCTTCATAATATCTCATTTTTTTACAATTTTTTTTTCCAAATGAGGGATTCTTTGAAAGATTTTTTTTCCTTTTTTTTTTCCTTTTTCAAGAGAACCACTCGAATGTGATCGGTAGAAATTCTGGCTTAACAATTAATATGAATAACCTATATAATCTGACTTAATTTTATATAATTATTTTATATACATTTGCTGATATTTATTATAAAATTTGCATGAAAGGCTAATTTCTAAACTATTAAGAAAGTGTATTAGTCAAGAGGAAAAGATTGTTCGTGTGCATTAGTACTGCGATGTAGTATATTTTATAGGTAGGCAGTTATAATGGAAAAGTCTTATTTTTATCGGTGAATTAGTCATTGCTAAGAAAAGAATTATTAAAATAAAAGGATCGACTGCTGAAAATATTATTAAATAAAAGTTTTCAAATTCATTGTATTACTCGTATTTAATATAAAATAAAAGTTCCGAGTAATCAATTTGTAATAAAGTTTGTCGGGAAATGACGGTGACGTTATTCATCGCTTATCTAACGAATGGATAAAATTTACGTAATTTACGTTTTCGTTCGAATAATAAGCCGCATCGTGTGTTTAAATTATTTATTGAACCGATGTTTGGCCTACCTCATGTGCTTCTATGTCGAACTTTTAACATTGTAATAATATAAATCTTATTCATAATGTCTCACTGTACGGCTTATTGTAATTTATAATTTAAGCCTATAATTACTTATTATATTTTTATTATAACAATTAAAAAAAAACACAATGGGTTTGAGAAATTAAAAATTGTATAGATCAATTAAATACTGCTTATTGCCACCGTAGCCTTACATTAACATCAAACAATCTGCAAAATTCACATTTAGAAGTACAATAAAGTTTTTTAATCAACTTTTTAATCATGGAATATTTCCATACGCGGGAAATCGATGTTTTCACAAAATGACAAATAAAAGATTTTGAAAAAGTGAGAAGTGAAGAAATGTAGAAGAAATACGCGCGGAAGGCTATCTCATCCGTGGTAATTATTTTACGGGAAAGCGGAGAGAAAATAAGGAGTAGCGGAACAAGAAAATTCGAGCCAAGAGGGAGCTCGTGTATGTTAGAGAGCATGATGAAGTAGGAATAGCAGGCTGGAAGGAGGAGGACGTGGAGGTGGTGGGGGAGCCTGGGGCGAGGGGTCCTCTGAGAAAGAGAAAGGGCGAAGCAACACGACATTAAAAGTCGAGCATCTAACGGCGAGAGCTTGAGATTTGACGGCCGCGCTCAAGTCCAAAAGTGTGTAAGGGAAAAAACCAGGAAAGGCACTTGACGAACGAACGAGCGTGTACATTCCGGGGTGGATGGGGGTTGGGGGCTGAGGCGGGGGAGTGGGTGGGAAAATGATCGCGCGCGTCCCTCGCCGCTGTTTTTCCAGCTTTTAACTTTTCAACCGCCCCAGTGCCTCGATGCTCGATGTTTAATTCAGGAGGGGTGAGCGCGCGGAAAACGTATGGACCGCCGTATGTCACGCCGCCAATCCAGATAAGTGGTCATGCATTTATGGAACTGGCGAGTGCTATATACAATATAACCACCACCACCACTCCCTGCCCCTGCCCCTGCCCCTGCCCCTGACCCAGCCCACGCCGTCACCCACGTCTTGCTCCCTCCCTCGCTCCCGCCAACGTCCACGGATGGATGCCACCCCACACACCCCACACACCCCACACACCCCACACACCCCACACACTTACAATGCTCGGCAATACGTATTATATTATATACTACTACGCAAGCGCGTAAACCGAAGCTTCTTTTATATTAAAGTACGTACACGCGCGTCGGGGTAACTTCATTGGCACTTTTGATACATACCGCCGTCACGGCATTTCTCCCCCCCCCCCCCTCTCCCCCCCCCTCTCCCTCTCTCTCTCTCTCTCTCTCTCTCTCTCTCTCTCTCTCTCTCTATATATATATATACAATGACTTCCTCTTTCCATTCCCAATCAAACGGACGGACGGACATCTCGAAATAGAAATTTGTTTGGATTTTTTTGAATGATGAGAAGAAGAACGAGAGAAGAGGAGGCGGCGCGCTGCTTCCCAATTAGGTCGATCATCGCATGATCGAGCCAATGAGAAATTTTATCGGGCGAGTGCTTTTCGACTGTCAACACGCTCAAGATGAATGAACATTAGAAATGGGCGCCTGACTTTCAATCTACTTACACTAAATAATTAAAACGCGTTGCTGCCCGGCGATTTGATTACTACTATAGTTGTTTTGTTGGTTAGTTAAGATTCGAGATGAAACCTGTAACATGCGAGATTAACAAAGAAGAAGAAGCAAGAGCACAGGAAACGCTGATTTTATATCCCATTTCCTATTTCTCTACTTTTATTGCCGCGTACTTAGAACAATGAGTAAGTGTAAGTAATGCGCATTCTCCTCAGCTTATTTACTTTTACACTTACGTTTATTGTCGCGCGCTCGGTGGTGTCGTCATTGTGTTTCAGTTAATTAATTATCAACGTCATCAACTCTCTCTGTCTTCTTTCAGTCACTTCACAGCAAACACTCTCCTCCTCCATCAACCCTTTCGACGAATATGTTAAATTGCAAATAACAAATATGAAGGAGAAATTTATGAAAAGAGCGACGTTATATAAATAACGTTACACACACGACCCGTCGCCTCCAAAACACTTTTTTACTCGTAATCGTAATATAGCACAATAATAATATTGTAGAGAATATTTTTTAAAAACTTGTAATATTATTATTTACACGCCACCAGCAATTTCTTCATATTAATTGTATTAATAGTATTAATTGTATTAATTTGTAATTATCATCCAGTACAATGGAGGAAAAAAAATGTAATAATAAAAAAGGGGGTTGGAGGTGCTGGGATTTGAACCCAGGACTTTCAGCATGCGAAGCAGACACTCTACCACTGAGTTACACCCCCAGTGTAATATCTTTAATGCATAAAGTCTTTCTAAGGTGTAAATATAAATTATTACCCAAAAATGAACGATTATTCGGTATTTTAAAGAGAAGTAGTTGAAATTCGATGTTTCCTTCCTTACTCTACGTAAAGATTAATAAAATTTATATTAATAATCTTATACTCACGCTAATTATTAGTGTAAAAATATTATATTTGAATTATAGATTTAGATAATCTTAGGCTTGATTGTTTGTAATAGGACATGTTAAAAAGATAAAAAGATATTAATCTATATATGTTAATTGTACTTAATGACTAATTATTTATTAGAAGTAAGGATTAGTAGTTTTAGCAATGATTGAGGTATTCAAATTTTGGATCATTTTTTTTTTTTTTTTTTTTTTTTTTTTTTTTTTTTTTTTTTTTTTTTTTTTTTTTTTTTTTTTTTTTTTTTTTTTTTTTTTTTTTTTTTATAAAAAGAAGAAAAAGGAGAGAAAAAAACAATGGAAATATTAAGTAATTATTTATTCAGTTATACAAATAATTCATCGATAATGTAGATATCTGTTTAGTCACAAGGGATTTTAGAACTTGTTACTACGGGTTAAGAGAAAATAAATTTTCTTTTATTTATTTGTTTGTTATTAAAAAGTATGCTCATGTAATGCAAAATTAATATACAATTTTATAAAATTACTATTTGGCAACTTAATAGAAATAAATTAACCAAATGATGGCTTTCTATGTATTATGTATACATTGTGAGTTCCTATCAAATCATATAATTAATTTCTAAAATAAATTTACCAAAAAAAATATAAATCATTCATTTACGCGCGAATGTCACAGTTTTACATATTTATAATTATAAATAATTATTATTTAACTTTTTACGATAAATTATTTTTATCCTATTTTGAAATAACTATAAAATATTTATTGTATTTTAATAGAAAATTTAGAAAATCATTGTATGTAATGGCTTTTCGAAAAGTATATATTTAACTATCAGAGTATCAAAATTTGCCCATGAAATAATGGTAAAAATAAAAATAATCCATAATTTATATATTTTTTAAAAAGATGTAGCAAAATTCTAGCAAAAAGAGCTTCATTACCTGCTTTTTCAATCTTCTCTTCAAATCCTCGATTAAATTATCGATCATTGTATACGTTAAATATATTTTATTCTTATAAGTCGTATGAAATTCCAAATCAAGTTAAAACATTGCTGGTTATTTGATTGAAAATAAAATTTACAGATGAGCAATTGCGAATCATGCTAGTTTAATCTACACGGACACGAGTGGGTGAAATCTTGCGGAGTGACACGATAAGGACTAAAAGTTGTAAAAATGTAACAGTCACTAAATCTGATTTAGCTAAGGCTCGATCTATGCTATATAAAATATATTTCACTAGAATTAGAATTTTTCACGAATAAATTTCTCAAAACATAATTTGTATAATCTAAAAACTCATTTACTTCAAACAGTTAATCACTATTGATTGTTAACTAATATTAAATTATAAATTAAGCAATTTATGATAATTAATTAATTAATTAATTAATTAATCGTAATAGAATATTGTTAAAATGTATAAATCAAAATATGTTTCAGTGCCAATCATCCCCGAGTTCCTTTATGACATGAAACATCCAAACTCAACCCTGAGCGAACATCTCGAAGGAGCGGAACACCACACATCCAAGATGACCACGACAACAATAACACCAACAGCACCTGGTTGCTCTTGTGCTTCAAACGCTTCCAACAATTCACCTTTGGAGTTTATTCTATCTACAGCGGTTACCTCCATTGGTTAGTCTGCATCTCTCTCTCTCTCTGTCTCTCTCTCTCTCTCTCGCTCTCTCTCTCTCTCTCTCTCTCCCACGATTCTTTTAAATATATGTTATAAAACATGTGCTATAAATTATGTAGAATTTTTTCTTATTTTTCTCCCATATTACTTTAAATTGTATTGCAACACCGTTCGGTTACAAAAGCTTCAAGAGACATTGACATTTATCGTACTTTTAATTACAATGAAAAATTCAATGCATCATATTTCCGGACAGTCATGCAAATTTATTATCTGTTAACAATATATTTGTATAATCAATTTTTTTTATGTGTATTTTTTGAAGAAACTACAACGATTAATCAGACGGTTGTTGAGGCGTTGGAAAAAAAAGAAAGACATCGAGAACTTATAGAAGAGACAGTAGCTGTTGGTATGATGTTTGCTTCAAAAGCCTTTGTTCAACTCTTAGCAAATCCAATAGTGGGACCCCTAACACACAAGTACTTTTTTTTTATTTAAAAAAAAAAAGATTCTAATGCAAGTCTGGTAATAAAGTATTACCTGATTACATTATTTTGATACTTAAAAAAAGCATTCTCTGCAATCTACTTGCTATAAAATAACATTAAAATTAGCTTTATGCATATACATATAGAAAATAATGGTAATACATTATGCCGAACGTCGTCAATGAATTAATAAGAAAAATATTTTTACAATTCAATAATTAATAATAAATATTATTTTTTAGGATTGGTTATAGTATTCCTATGTTTACTGGATTTATTATAATGTTTTTGTCTACTTTGATCTTTGCTTTTGGTCGAAGTTACGGAATACTCTTTTTAGCTCGTGCACTTCAAGGCATTGGATCTTCTTGCTCTAGTGTTTCGGGTATTACATTTTTTTTTTTTTTTTATAAATAATTCAAAGTTTCAACATGATAGTAAATTAATATCCTTTTTTAAATAACATTCTTCTTCTTTTTTTTTTTTTTTTTTTTTTTTTTTTATATATATAAAATGGCATGAGCTTTATTTATTCAAGCAAATTTTTTTTTTTTAATATTTGTTTTAACAAAATTTTACATAAAAGACATTGCTACACAGACAAAATATCAAAATTAAACTATAAAATAAAATGGATTATAATTTAACTATTAAGGATCCAAGTATAAACGTACATTTATAATGCATATTTATTTACATACAGAATATTTATAAATTTGTAAAATATATCTTCATCATTTATCTAAACGAGGTCCATTCTTAAATTTCAAATAATAAAAAAGGCATATTGAAAAACTTTGAAAAATTATTTGTACTTGAATTATATTTTTCATTAGCGCAAAATGAAATAAATACAACCAAAAATGTAAAATAATTGTTCAATTTGAGTATGAATTACGATGATGATAAATATTTCCAGTTTAATAATCTGGAACGTGAGATGCCTAAAGGAAAATATAATTTGCACAAAGTGTATGAATTATTTATGTACATGTTTAAACTAAATTTAATTTACGCAGGTATGGGGATGCTAGCCGAGCGTTATCAGGATGATAAAGAGCGAGGGAATGCCATGGGAATAGCCCTTGGAGGACTGGCCTTGGGTGTCCTTATTGGGCCACCTTTTGGTGGACTAATGTATGAATTTGTAGGGAAGTCCGCGCCTTTCCTTGTACTATCAGCTTTGGCCCTTGGTGATGGAGGTAGGTGGTGCATTTCATTGTTAATAAGTTGCTTATAATCGGCGAGCGGCTTCATTTTAATTCAGGTCTTAATATCTTAAAATCTGTTATCTTTATATCTGAAAATGTCTTAAAATCTTTTCGAAATATCATTGATATTCAACATTAACAAAAAAAAAAAATTGTTTTTTCTAAATGTACTTTGAACGAGAAAGAAATTATTTCAACATTTTCAATTTTAGTACTCCAATTGTTAATGCTCCAGCCGTCGGTTGTTTATACAGAAGCGGAGCCACCGAGTTTAAAATCCCTAGTTACCGATCCTTACATCATTCTCGCCGCAGGTAATGTATATTCTTTAAATTTTTAACCTTTCCAACCAACCGACAAATTTTAACAAACTACAAGAATAAATAATATTCTACGGTATTAATTATGAAACAATTATAAACGATAAAGGTGCAATAACTTTTGCAAATATGGGCATCGCCATGTTAGAGCCAAGTTTACCAATTTGGATGATGGATACCATGAGCGCGAGCAGATGGAAACAAGGCGCCACATTTTTACCCGCTAGTATAAGTTACCTAATTGGCACGAATCTTTTTGGGCCCCTTGGGCACAAAATGGGCAGGTATGAGCATACTCTCTTTCGCTTCTGTATCCCAACAACTTTTTACAAATTGTTTCAATCTCAATACGCAATAGCTCAATAATTTTGCATTATTAAATCGTAATATCTGTATTAAAATTTGTATTACAATTTATTGTATGCGTACACATGTATTGGGAAATGATCTTTATTAAAATTTTATAGTAAATTTTGTAATTTTATAGATGGTTGGCCGCGCTTATCGGTCTTGTCGTTATTGGTTTCTGTTTAATGTGTGTAAGTAGTTCATATCTACGTATTTTCACACGAGTATTATTTACTCGTTTGGCCTTAAATGGACACAATTTTTTCATTCTAGATACCCTTAGCAAAAAGTATCGACCATTTGATTATACCAAACGCAGGATTAGGATTCGCTATTGGCATGGTAGATAGTTCGATGATGCCTGAACTTGGTTATCTTGTGGATATCAGACACAGTGCAGTATATGGAAGTGTTTATGCAATCGGTGACATAGCTTTCTGTCTCGGCTTTGCAATTGGTATGAGTTAAATGATATTTTACGAGTAACATAGACTACTGTATGTGAAACATATCAGAACACACACACGCGCACGCACGCACACGCACGCACACGCACGCACACGCACACGCGCACACACACGTATACGATTATGCATTAATACGTTGTACCGTAATTACTTGAAAATACAGACAACTTATTATGAATGATAAAACTTTATTCCATTATTTTAATTATGAACTTTTATTATAATTAAAAATATAGATTTAAAAGTTTTTATTTAATATATATAAATAATTTTAGATAATATTGATAATGCTTTTAGGTCCGGCACTAAGTGGAACTTTGGTTAATACTATTGGTTTTGAATGGATGCTTTTTGGAATTGCTGTTTTAAATTTTATTTATGCACCATTTATGTATTTCTTGAAAGCACCACCTACAAAAGAGGAGAAAAAAGTAAAATCTTATAATGTATAATAACATATGTATTAAATGATGTTTTAATTTATAATATTCCATTCCAGTCTTTAATTGTCGGGGAAAAATCATCAGTACGTTACGTGACATATGAAAATGAAGAAGAGGAGCAGTAGATATGAATTTTTTTAATTATTAAACGAATATTTCCATGGTATCTACCGATATATATTTTATAATATCCAATTCATTGAAATTTATATATTATGAAATCTTAAAATCATTAACTTTCATTTCATTGCATTAAAGAGAAAGGAGAGTATATATATATATATATATATATATATATATATATATATATATTGATTTTTTTTTAATGAATAACAGTTATGGATATTCCAATTAGTGTTTCCATTCTTTATCACGATTATATATAAACGTACATACATTATTTTTGTATGTATATATGTACATATGTATAACCAAGTATAAAGAATGCACATATTGATCAGAATATTTTTAACATTGCATATTATTTTATGTATCTATTATTTAATGGTTCGATAAGATAATGAAAAATGTTGATATTTAAACATAGAATTTAATAATAACATTATTACGCAAGTATTGAATGCGAATATGTCTTTGATTTGACAATATTTTTAAAAATAGCCCTTACTTATAGATTAGTAGTTACGTTTTTCACTTTTGACATATTATTAAAACAATTATGAACTTATTAATGTTATTTATAAAAAATAACCTTCGATACAACAATATATAGCAAAATGAGAATTTATTTATAATTTAAAGATCTAATTAGTTTCCAGTAGCCATTTAAAGAAATCTTAAAATTTTTAAATTAATTGAAATTTTGAAGCTGATAGATATCCTGATTATATTAATTAAATAAAATATATATTCATAATTTATTTTTGTCACTTAATTTTTAGAATAATTTAATACAGTTACATTCGATACTACATATAAATTAAATTAGCTATATTATAAATAGTAAATTATTTAAAAAAACATGCAATTTTGGACTTTGATAATATACTTTATGTTATCTGTAAAATAGTAATTTTATCCATGAAAGTAATGCCTAGTTTAAATAAAAATTATTTGAATTTTAAAAACATCGATTAAAAATGAATAATTTTTTGTTGTTTAATTCAGAAATTCCTTGAAAGTTGCTAGCATGATGAAAGTAAACATTATAATATATATTTATTCGTCATAAATTTTTGTAATAATAACTTATTTGTAGTGAAAGAAAAATAGTGTAGAAAATTACTTTGAATTGTATTTATTGTATTTTTCTATATTTTATTGTATTTTACTATTCTTCACTATATTTTATTTTACTATGAAACATTATTATGTAAAAGTACTACATTAATTGATCCATTAATTGATAATCATATATAAAATATAACAATCTATTCATTAAATGAAAACATATCTTCTATAAATTGATTAATTTTTTAAATTATTCCACTATTTTACAAACTAAATGTATTTAAATTTTCGTAATACAAGATATAAAAACTTAATCATATAGATATTGCTTATAGTACTAAGAATAATAAAAATACATATGAAAGTATGGCCAAATAAAGTAATAAAGGAACTTTCATTCATATTATAAGGGAAATAAGACACTATACTCTAAATCTGCGATATTTTCAAAATAAAAAGAGTAAAAACAATAAGGACCATAAGAAATGCAAGATACAAGTAGAACTGTAGAGTACGATCTTAAAAATGAAAAATCAGTAATTATTAAAATTAAAAATATCAATGTAATTAAGGCATATATATTATTTGTTTGAGACTTGGAGCCATTGGAAAATGTACGTTAATGGAAATAAGTAATACGAAAGTTGTGAATTTAATCAACTGATTATCGAGTACGTTTAAGAGCTTTTTTTAAAAGAAACAAAAAATGGAAATAAATATGCATGATGCATGTTATGAGCTACGTGTACCATTAATATAGAAAAGAATCTGTGTGAAACTCACAGAAAAATTGCGAATGTCAAATGTTGATGTAAAAGGAGCAAGTAAATTATACAAAAAGAACGAGTTTATAAAAATTCTTAAAGCGATGGATTTATAACCGAAGTTGAAAGCATTTTAAACGATGTAAGCGTAAGGATACAAAATACCCACGGTTCAGGACAATTTAGAAAATATGAGAGCCATAAATTTTTCAAAATTTCAAAATTCCTTTTAGAGAACCTCCCAATGTGGATTTCCTGAATGGCTGCAGGAAAACCGTAAGAAATAAATTAGTTGGGAAATTATGAAGACGTTCTCACTTTTCGATGTGTCATATTAGGCATTATAAAAATGAAAATATATACAAATGTTTAATAATGGCTTCTCTATTATTTGCTGAATAAGTGCTATTTAATATAAATAAAAACAAAAAAAAAAACAAAAAAAAAATAAAAAAAGAAAAGATGAGAAAACAAATCCGAAACGTTCGAGCGCACTTTATATGTGAAGTTGAATGTTGCTAAATGTTACTATTCATATTCTATATAACTTAAATAAAAAATATATATAAGCTATCATCATTAAAATATACTTCATTAAATAATGCGGTCGAACATTTCTGGTGTTAATATATGCAAGGACTTGACAGAGAATTTTTTCTGATCTCAAAATGTACTTTGAGTTTACGGTGATCATGAGCAACTTATTAGAGGATTCGCAGTGGAAAACTCTAAGAATTTATAAAAATTATAAATACATAATTTTGAAATTTTTACTTTAACACTACTTTATATATATAAAAAATTGATGAAAAAATACCTCTCACGTAACATTCGTAGAAGCAATACACAAGTTAACGGATCAAATAATATATATATTCTATTTAAATGTTAAATGCATGTGTATTTAATATGTATTATTACAAATATCATATATGTCAAGAAAAATAAAAGAATAAAAAAAATTTTAAAAATCATAAATGTGCTAGAATAAGCTAAATCATTTTATCGTGCATTTATAGACACTAATTGCTAATAGATATGTATCTTGACGTAAAAGACATCGTGTTTGATTATTGAGAACCTAAGCTACTGTAGCGCTAATAGTGCGCATCGTTAGATAATTCTGCTAGTATTTAAAATTTTAATGGTGTGATAATCAAGTAAATATGTATATTAGTCATTAAAAAAATATATAATATTTTGATTTAATTCGTTCGGTTGTATAGTATACTGCAGTGAGAGGTCGATGAAAAGAAAAAAAAAAAATAAAGAAAGATAATTAGAAAATTCACATTCACAAGGGTGAGAATATAATATATTAGATTATGATTAATTAATTTTTTTAATTTTTTTTTTGTTTTTGTTTTTTGTTTTTTGTTTTTTGTTTTTGAACTTCAATTAATTTTCTAAATAAGTATAAGAAAATGAAAAAAGAACGAAAGAAATAATTACAGAATTCTACTGCAAATTCCACGAAAAAATAGGATCGTTTTTAACGTACCTACTCCCGGAACGAAAAGTGAGTCAATTCGATCACCATAAATTCATTGGACGAACTCTCGAATGAAATATGCATTAAATAAAAAAAAAGTCTATATAATGAGAGGAATCAGATAAGGATGTGATGAGATCTCGAAACTCGAAGCCGGCAGATCGTCGAGCAGAGAATGCTCCATACAAATGTATATCGCCTAAAAAATCATGTAATGGGTTAATATAAATTATTATACAATTGCGTCTACTTGGATTTATCAGAAATTTTGTAAATATAAACTATATTACAGGCTTACACAAGAATGAACATTTAAAGCATTACTTGTTGTCGCTTTGCGACATGTCCACCGACATGAATTGTTAAGCTTTATTAATAGAGTATATTTAGCTTACATTTTAATTACATCTAATTCATTAAAAGTATACATTTATTTTCAATTGGTATAAACGATTATTTCGATTCTAAAGTGATTTATATAAACATTACTTTATCACTTATTTTTTGAAGTATTTAAAATTTGTGACTGTATAAAAATAACGAGAATTTATAAGTATATGTCATAATGGAGAAATGTTATTATTTGTTACATAATATATACAGTTAATCGTATATCGTAAATTGATTCAGAGACTATAACGGCGCTTGAAGAATTGAATTGCTAATGCAATCAAAAAGATGGAATTTAATACATGAACCTGTTAAGATTATCGTGCATCATAAATCACCAACTGAAATACAACGAAATCTCAATGTTTTTAATAATTTTTATGCATTTGACATTAAAAAAAAAAAAAAAAAAAAAAAAAAAAAAAAAAAAATTACGCGTTAAATACTCGATGCTTATCTATCTATCTCATTGGTTATTTACGGATTGTAATAATTATTTTTTTAATTTCAAAACGGCACCATTCTGTCTATACATCTGAATGTAATAAAATAGTTAATAATGGCATTTATGTTTATAGTTTTTAAATAATCGCTGCACATGGCTTAAAACGTACATTGTTCAAAATTATTCCTAGTTTATCTTCATTAACGAGACAAACGAAGAAAACGAAATTAGTATTTGTAAAATTCTTCTATGTGAAATGTATTGATTATGTATTATTATAATTTTATTGATAAATCAATCGAAGGAGCTATAGTAATGTATAACAAGCTTCTTGAGTTAAATGAAAAAATGAAAAATAATATGTGATAAAATCCAAATCTATTGATTTAAATAATTAATCACATTGTTAATATACGTATAAATTCTAAAAGCGATAAAAGATAATTAATGTAATTCTTTATCAATTTTTTTTCTTCTTCTACTTTTATGTAAATTTTTCGTTAAAAATCTATATAATCACTGTAATGATTCGAAAAAAGTGACTCGATGAGGGCTGCTATTGTGACCAGACAATAAGCAATGAATCACATTAACTCTCCGGTTACCTTGAAAAAAGGCTTACCAATGTTTGTACAACAACTAAGATAATTACACGTATAATATTAATAATCTAAATAAACCGATGAAGACGATTTGTGCTTTAAAATAAAATGTTTCTTCTTCATTCTCGTATGTATATTAAACTGCATACGATATTTCGGTTGGAAAAATAAAAATAAAAATAAAAATTCTGTAAAAGTATAATAAAAAAAGAAAAAAAAAATTGTTTTCATCGACATAAAATTAATTACGCGTTAAAAGCCTCGATAAGTCATTGTTGATTCCCGTGCCGGTGGAATGGTTAAGGAAATGGAAACAAAAAGTAATAAATCGTAGTAGAAGAGTTTATGTGCAACCTATTTGTATCATACTTTTATGGCATTCGGTTGAACACTAAGGGTCTCTTAGAACTATTATGTAAAGAGAAAATTATTCGATATAGTTGTATCATATTATACATCTTATTATCAGCTGGTGTATGGGTCCGATTTAATACACTACGTAAACAATAATGAAACTGCAAGCGCGTTTCGAAGAATAATGACAATATATATTTATTACTGTCTATTCTTAGATAGCCCGCGTATTTCGTTTGATTTATTTCAATAACACCTGCACAGTTCTGTAGATCGTGTGTATGAAGTGTCTACAAAAAAAGTGAGTTTTAAGTTTTGAACCGACTTCGAGTTTCGTATATATATAGACGAATATACGTGTTTTGAGCTGCTCTTAAACGAATTCACTGACTGATTTGGGTACACGTTGGATTAACAGATTCGAATTAATAGTACGAATGTTTAATGACTAATAAGACGAAAATTGAAAAGCTTAAAAGAAATAAAGTGGAGCTAATTTCTTGATAATTATAATACTTGATCAACTTAACCATGCAAAAATTTCAATCGATTAGTGTATATGTAATAATAACATTAATGTGTATACGAAAAATGTCCTGTAACAATAAATTTAAATCAAAATCAATCTGTTTTTACGTATTTTTGTTTTATTTATGCTAAATTAAAAACAAAACCATTACAGTATTTTGTACAGCAGTTTAATTCAGTTATCTGATACTTCTGTGATAAACAATTCTTCTTAATATTTCTCTTTCGTACTTGGATAATTAAAAAGTATTAATTTTCATGGAAAAAAAAAAAAAAAAAAAAAAAAAGAAATCAAACAACCAATAGTTTTTATATTTTACTTTATTATAATTATGTAATATCCTAGTATATGACTTTAGGAAACTTCGGTTTGCAATGTCTCACCCTCGTAAAATAGAGCATTAGTGCAAATGCAAATTTTGCAGATAATTTCGGTAGCATAAAAGAAACTGCGAATCTCAATGGAAACGGCAGGTAAAAGCAAGAAAAGGAGTTAAGACAGTCATTCGGCTGTCGGCTTCCAAACAAACACATATGTCCACTCTCTCATTAATACATCTTGAATAAATAAAAAATTATAAGATCTCTCGATCAGGTGTTAGTGATTTTTATCATCTTCAAAAATATTCGAGGCTGCTTGTTTATCTTGAATCAGTTGGATCAAATAGCATCAATGACATCAATTGATTATCCAACCTTGTATGTAACACTAACGGGAATAACGTGTAATTTTTAGTAAATTTATTAAGTGAATGTTTAATAAATTGAAAGCATGTTATCTTATTTCAATTTATTCACGTTTATAATAGTATTTTAGCACATTATTAAAAAAGGCATTAACTTTGATCAAACATTTAAAGCAAAAAGTTACCAAGGGGCTTAGTGTCATTTATTTAAAATAAAGAATTAAGCAATTTACAAGTATTTATTTTTTCTGTTTCATGGCTGGATTACACAATTATTATGTTATGTTTTTTCGAATCATCCTTGCCTTGGGCTTATTAACAAACTAAAAAATATTTCCAGGATTATTTATTTAAATGATTTATTATTATTTTACAAAAATTTTGATACTTTTGTAATCGAAGCATGAAGTGAATCAATTATTGACACTCAAGAACATAAGAAAGTAAATAAATAACATCATTGTAAAGTATTTGTTATTTTAAGTATATTAATAGTTAATCGTATAACACCTAGGACAGATGCATGAATATATAAATGTATATATTTATACACGCGCACACACACTCACTCATTCGCATTTATATATATATAATGTTTAATGATGCATTGTTCTATATAGTACTAAGGCCAAGCACTTTAACCAAAGATATAAATTAGTATAAACTTTACTTATTCTATTCATTTAATCTAGTATAAACTTATTTACAATATAAACTATCCATACGATATATATATATATATTATATGTGATAATATTTAATTTATATATTTCACCGAACTTAAATATTTTATAAAATTCGTATTATAATCTTTACATTTACAGTATAAATATGTACTCGTTTTTATATTAATTTGTAAATATATTAAAACTTCATCTTTAAAGATTGTATTATTCGTTTTAAATAACGCTGTTTTGATATATGGTACTAAGATTAAAGTCTGTATGGATTACGAAATGATGAATGATTAATGTTTATTGTAGTAATAAGGGTTATATTAAACTTCACAGGAACGAAATTGGACAAATTAATAGAGTACAGGATGTTTGACATAATCTAATAGTACACAAGTTTGGTGAAAGTAAAAATTGTCTATTAAAGTCTAGATATATTGTAATTTATTTTAATCTCAATATGAATATTTGTTAAGTGTATAGATCTAAGTTTCATAATCACTGCCATAAGATATTTAATTTGTATTAAGTTTTTTTTTGTGAATATTCTATTAGAGCATTAACATAAAATTCAATTATGTCTCAACAAAGAACTAAAAATTGTTACCTTTCTTAACTTTACAGCAATGAAAAAGCAAAAAAGCTTATCAGAATTGCCTTTTACATGTATTAACAATGATATATAAAGTAATTATGCAGCATTTACGAATGTTTGTTTAATATAAATAAGTTCAGAGTTTATCTACGCATACTTAATTAACTGCTAGTTTCATATATTTTAATCAACAACTTGTGATTAAACCTTTTTTTTCCAAAACTTGGATTATAAAAGATGCGATAAAACTATGTACTGAGTTACATTTAAGGATTTTTATGTCTACTGTTCGGTAAACTTGAATTCGGAATCTATTTCTATTGATAATTACGTTAAAATAATAAATACAATCAAATAACATAACCATTTTGGTACTATACATTTATCTGAAAATTGCAGTATTAGGAGAAATAAGAACGAATTGTTTTGTGTATGAAAATCCTTGTACATTAAACGTATTTATAAAAATAAAATATTTAGAGACTTTGGTATACTTTAATAATTTTACTAAACTTTATCTCAAAATTATAAGAGATTTACATCAATCAGTACAATAACATTGTTGTTATTTAAACTTTGTCTTTTTAAGTTTAATTATAAATTAAAATTTTATAAATTGATTTTATTGTGACATGGATTATATTCCAATGATGGAGTGAAATTGTTGAATAGAATAATTATTCTTATCGAAGTAATAAAGACATCAAGTCATAGTACCAAGTGGATCATATGTTGCATTTTAATCAATTGATATATTAATATTATTAACTTTGACTTTCAATTTACAAATGAAATTCAAAATTTCTCAGTCTTTATAAGTTGTTACACTATAAATCTGAAATTTTTAGTGAATTTTGGCCGTTCTATCATTCACTACTGATTTTTAATGCGCATAAAAAGTTAACAGTTGTTAAGCACCTTGGCAACTTTATTTTATGTTTAATTATCAATAATTAAATATTATATATAATATTCAAATAACAAATTACTGTCATGTTTACTACTTAATTATCAAATTTATTTGAAGTTGAGTCAACATTGTGACAACGAACACAGTTTAGTAGGACTCAATATTTTAATTCAGTGCATTAATATTTATGTACAAATACGCATAATCATTTTCGTTTTAGCTTTGAACGCACTTACTTCAATAAAAAATTGCTTTTTCATTATTAACACACCAATTGGATACACTGTAGTTGATATTTCCGTCTTTAACAATTTTATTGAAAGATTTATAATTTGTATGATAGTTTCAAATTGATTTATTAAAGAAAATTTTATTTTTGATACGCTAGCTGTAGTCTTAATATGAAATTTCATAAATTGCAAATTTTTTACAATTTTTATAATTTTGTTAGTACATTTTATATACGTACTTCTGTCATCTAGCACTTACGAGTACAGAAACCTCTACTTTTCGATAAAAATATATCTAAAAACATTAGGCATAATTGTATCGAAGGCATAGTTCAGCTCTTCAAAATTTTTAGTATTGTTGGTTTTAAACTTCACCTGCCAAAACATAAATTAAAATAAATTGTAAGAAAATTATTATTGATAAAAAACGCGTTTGTGAAATCGCACCATAATAAAAACCTAATACTAGTCATGGGAGGATAATATACTTTTAAGTTATCATACAAATACATCTTCCTCGGTTATCACAGCAAACTAGAAATAAATAAGCCTGGCATCTTCTGGGTTTTGATCTACTGGGCAGTATGGACATTTTAGCCTGGAAACAAATTGGTTCCTTTAAAAAGTGTTTTCGCTATCAAAGTACTTATTTTCAATTCTTATTGAACGACATACTTGTTGGCATTGGTGAGTTTATTTAGGGCATCTCTTGAGATAACGTGACCACAGACTAATTTCATTGGTGGATTATTTTCTGTACTCTGTTGCCTTAAGATTGGACAGGCAAACACTGAATGATAACGGCCTTGTTTTCCCAAATCAATTTCAATCTGAGGAACAAAATTATTATAAGAATGAATTAGTAATAATCATAATATCGTACTTACAGGAAGTTCGTCTTTTCCACTCCATATACCAGCAACTTGTCGTTGTTGCATGACTTGTTTTATATTTAAAAGAGCAGGCAGTGCCGTAATTCCAGCATTTATACTGTAGCATTGTAATATATAAGCATATATTATTGTTGTAATTGCGTATTATTCATTATGTAAATTTACATTGCATATAATTGTAATTACCAGACAGATAAGGGACTATCGACACTCAATCCTAACAGTGTACATGCTTCTTTTGTAAAAACATCATGAATATCGAGCCATAAAATTGGATCTAATAAGTGACTATACGGAGACGATTGTATTCCATTTGGTAAATATAATAATGTTCCCATTAGTGATTGAACTTCTTTTTCATGTCGTGTAACAAATTGAGTTAAATATTTACGGGCGTATGTAATTGCTTCACTTTGCTTACTGGATCCCTGTTGAACTAATCTTATAAATTGTAACCTATGTAATTTAAATTCCAAGGAAGAGTTCTGAAACAATTATTATATAGCACTAAAGTATTTATTGCATTTAAAATGATAAAACATAAGTAATTAAATTTAGATATACTTGTGCAATAAGCGCATCTCTGTGCTTTGTTGCCCATTCTAAGGCTGGCTCTAAATTTTTTTGTTTTAAGCAATCAAGTATGTAATTTAATTCTGTAAATGGTTCCTTTCTCCCTTCATCAGTCTTAACTCCTGCTTCCTGCTTACATAATAAAATATTAAATATTATTTCTGTTTATATGAAAACAGTCTAAAATCAAATGTCCGAATAAACTTACCGTTGCTAATTCATCAGCTATGTCTAACATTCCTTGACGATAAAAATGTTGACAAATAACTTGATTTAGTAGATGAGTTTTTTCTGTACCTGAGAAAACATCTTCTCTACTCGTACTAGCAAAGTCTGCTATAAAATTTCTGTCGATTGCTTTACCTACTTTCGAAACTGTACTATGTAATTCACGGTGATCCGTTGCCAGTCTTTGTACTGTATCTCTTGCTTTGGTCATTGCTTGTTTTAAAACTTGAACTTGACCTGGTGTTAGCTCATGATTGGATGGTGCTAGGCATTAATTATAAAAATAATAGAAGCATACGTATCAATTATCGTTAAATATTTTGGATTTCAAATAAATTGTTAATTATGATTCTAGAAACGTATTTTTTGTCATTGTTATTTGTTAATTGAGAAAGCACATTGTCTAAGCAGCATCATCAAATGCTGTTACAAAGTGCTTATTAATTTAAGCATAACCTAAATGAGAATGCAAAAATATTATTTTAAACGATTATGAAATTTTTGTAAACAAAAGTTTACGTATTCCATTAATATATTTCTGCGACAGAACAAAAATAAGCATTTAAAACGTTAATGATTTAAATGTCTTACTCGGCCTTTGTTTTGAAATTAGCATTTTTTGAGTTAAAAATACATTTTCCTACCTTCTTCCAGCTCATTTTTTAGGGACTCTATGTGATTAATGAGATCCCGTAGTGTTGTATCTGCATGATCGTTTATTGCTCCGAATTTTAATAAAACTTTGTCGACTTCGCGTTCGACAGCATTACAAGCCTCCATTATTGTTTTTCCTACTGATATGTCGCGTCACGATTCCCAGCTGACGTCAACGCCAGTGTTGCCAGTTGCTAAAACTTTCTTTTTTAAAAGCATGGGCACTTTTATTTTAAGATCATAATTATTCTCTTTCTAAGGATATATTTTTCTTTAATTTTGGAAGCAATAATTATAATAATATTTAGAACTAATATACGAAAAGAATCAACAATGAGATTTCAACGTTTTTTTTTTTAATTTTATAAATATACATTGATGTTTAATAAAGTAAGTACAAACTATATATGCCAATGGAATATAAATTTTCGAATTATTCAAAGTATCGATAGTAATATTGTATTAATGAACATAATATTTATATTGATATCGATTAATATTAAAGGAAACAAATTAGCCATACTAATGGTGTAGAGTATTGATTTATTTGTTTCATTTTAATAGAGAACAAAGTAAAACAGTAGAATGAGTAAATAGTTTCTTCTTATGAAATAAATTATTAACAACCTTTTATACGTTGCCTTGTGTTATGATTAATTTTAAATTAACGTTAATCGAACATTTCTTTCTATAATTATAAAATAGCAATCCATATACTGTATAACATGCTGGAACGATTTAAATATATCATAGTGTACAAATCATAGTCTGAAGATTTATCGGCATTGTTTATATATTTATGTACAAGATTATTTGCTGATGATTTGGCTTTCACAAAAATGGATTATGTTCTTGCTGTAAAAAAAGATATGCAACCATTATGATACATTTATGCTTATAACTTATATTAAAATATATCATTTTTTATTTCTATTCATTTATAAACTATATAAATTAACAGTTAAATGAGACATTCAATTTTAAAAGTTGGAAAATACTAAATACCTGTCTTAAATAATAATAATAAAAAATATATAATGGCAAAAATAATAACTATTAAAACAACAAATAAAATAATAATAATAATACGAAGAAGAAGAAAAAAGACAGCAGTGATAATTCAAGATTGAATGATTCTTTAGTTAGTTAAAGCATAAAAATAATTTCCTTCTTTCAGGCAAAAATATTACACTATATCATTTCATTTTCAATTGAATTTATGTAAATGATTTTATTCATCCATTTATTATTTCACTAAATTTTACCTGCTAGTACTTTGAGTTTACTTACCCATTCTCTTCCCATTAATAATATAGTATTATTTTTTAAAGCTGGTCCTATTAGCGGATTCATTTGTGCCATATAACAGCAAAGCCAGCTAAATAAGAAAAATCATCATATGAATATCCTGAATTTCAAGAGTGTTCTTAAAAGATCATACTTACAATAGCCAACAGGTAAAAGCTGTTAGCATTAAAATAACTTGCAAGATTCTAAAAACAAAAGAAGTTTGATAATGTATACACCATTATTTAATGTTCATATCGTGCATACCGAAGGCAATAGCTAATTTATGGCGTAAATCATAAAATTAATAAACTCACCCTTTATTCGGGCCTTTGGGTACGAAAAATGGCAGTACGATACCAACGGCTCCCCATATAACTGTAAAGAATAGAATAGGTGCCCATGAAGCTCCCATATTTTCTAATTAACAAGTTCTTTTGAATAAAGTGATTTTGTAGCTTCCAGAGTTCTGGAATTGATTGCGGAAGGTGTCTGCTTTTCTGTCACATGATGGTTATGCGCGTAACCTTAACGTACGCGTACTATTTATACACATATATTACCATGTACATTAACACGTATATTACCCACGTAGTCTCCATATATTACGTTTTGCAGTTGAAACTTTTGGATTTTGCAATAAAAACACAATTCAAAATTAACAACATTTTATTTAAAAATTAGTTAAACAATATAAAATAGATTAATTATTGTCGGAGAACATTTTTATAAATACATTAACATGGAACATCCAGTCATTATTTCAAAGCACTAATTATAAAAATATATATACTTTATATTATCTTAATATAAATATTTGTTTTATAAATAACTTTATAGCTAGATGTATTTTCAAAGAATACTGTAATAAACTTACTTTAACAATATTTGTTTATAGTTTCATTATTATGTCAACTTTGCATTCTTTTTTTTTAATATTTTTTATTTTTTCTAAACGTGATAATGGTGATGGGGCATCACCCCCGCCAGTTGTCGCATATTCATTCAATTTCTTTGCCTTACTTTTCTGTAGTTTATTGAAATTTTTCAATTTATCTGCAGAGAAAGAAATATTTTTCGACTTCTGTGTTAAATTATTAGTATCACATGCAACTGAACTTAATGTATTTGAAAGCCCAGAAATTTTTTCCAATATATCTGTTAAAAAAATGTTAATTATATTTACTTTTTATACACCGCTTAATTTATTTATTAAATAATATGTACTTGTTAAGTCTAGACTTTCAGAAGTAATATCTACTTCGCACTCTTTGTAAAAATTGTCCCGACTAAATAAATGTTGTCTAATATTTGATAAATTTCTCATTTTCAATAAATTCTGGATAGGTTTCTCTGATTTATTAGATTTTGGAGTTTTATACATAACTGACCATTCATTACGCATTATTCGGCCTTTTTGAATGTATGGAATTAAGATAGAAACATCTGATTCATTTCGTAAAACAGTATTTGCTGGTTGAATGGAAAGTGGCTGCTTACATCGTGTTACTAAAGGTAAATTTTTTTTTTATTTACTATTAATTATTCTTTGATGATAAATAGTTAATCGTTATAATTACCTGTATAAGGAATCCTAATATATACTGAAGATTTCTTATCAACTGATACATCACGATCAGTAGATACAAAACTAACGGCACCTAAGGAAAAAGAAAATATTGTTACCCATAAAAAATATATATTTGATTTATAATCATAATTATATAGAATTTTTTTAAATATTGTATATATGGAATTACTTTTATAACTTGAATCATCTTGCTGTTTTATTGATTTTGTACTAATAGTATTCATAGTAATTGAATTATAAACAATAGTAGAAAGTGCAGGAAGCAGTTGTTTAATAACTTTCAACATTATTTCACATCGATTAATAACTCGCAGTTGTTCAGAGGCTGTAGCTTTATTAATAAGGAACTTTTTTGAAGCTGCATCCGTTTCATAAATATCTGCAACATAGTATATCATAGACACTCAAATACTGTAAAAAATTATAGTTAATTTTTTTTTTTAAGTAAATTTACCAGTCTTAAATTCGTGAATTATTTTAGTTGTTCGTTTATCAATATTTTTTGGATCAATATCCGAAACGGTAGCATCAATTTGCTTAAAAAGTGATAAAGCTCTTTGAACTACTACTTGCACCTGTGATTGAGTTATAACTTGTCTGTTATTTAAATTATTAGACATTTCATTTATACGTTCTTGTAAATCATCCAGAATAATCTAAAAGCGGGAATAAATAAAAATAAAATTAGTTAACAATTTAAGTAATTCTATATAAATGGTTCTAATAAAAGCAGTTTTTACTTGACAATAAGCAGCCGGATCTATTATTAAATTAACAGTGTGAACAAATTTTTTCATTTCATACTGCCATTGAGCAGTTAGAAGTTTTACATATGCCCGCATCTCTTTATTATCAGGATGTAAATAAAAAGCAGAAATGGCAGGAACTAATTCCATTTCTAATGATTCGAAACTAGCAAGACAATTTTTAATTTGACCAGCTTCTATGATGTTGAAAAATAAATATACAAATAATAATTCAATAATTTTCTAAAGTACATTGATTTAAAGAGAAAATGTAATTACTATGTTTATCTCTGCAACATGTTATAGCAAATTTTCCAATTTGCACAGTTTTATCAGTCAGCTGATCAAATTCTTCAATGAAAGAACTTAAATCATTTTTTGTTCTATCTTTTGCATTTAATGAAGTTCCACAAATTTCAATTAACTTTTTTAAGGTACCAAAAGGATCACTAAACACTACCATAACTAATGTAAGTACTGAAATATTAATTTTACGTTCTAATCTATATAATGAATCAGTTAAAGTATTCATAAATAAACTATTCATTGTTGGATCTATTGGATCACATTTAAGTTGCGCCTTCAAATTTTCATATTCTGTTAATATAGTTTGACATGAATCAGTAATAGCTTTAAAATTATTAGGCTGACAAACTTGTGCTATTGACATTGCATGAGAAAATATATCTTCAATTCCAACCCATAAATCATTACACTCTTTAATTTGATCTATCAATTTTAAGTTACTCATATTTGCAATTATATCTAGTAATAAATCGAGTCTGTAATAGAAATTTTGAAATTATATTACTATAATTAGTAAAATTTTTTTAATGATTTAACTATATTACCTGTATACAAAATTATTTTCTTCTTCGATATACTCTTCTTCATTTGAAGGATTAGAAGAATCTAAAATACTTATAATACTTTCAAAACATAAACATAGCCTATTACATATATACTTCTTACATGTCTGTAAAAAATATAAAATAAATAAAATGATAAATATAATTTTTAAAGCCTAGCAAAAACAATTACATTAAACTTACATAAATCGATGCGTTTAATTTATGTTGTTCCTTTATAACTTCTACCAACATTTTAAACGATGTGCACAATTGATAGCAATATAGAGTTAATTTATTTGATAGAAGATTTGAAATTAAGTTCTTTTTGTAATGTTGTAAAGGTGTAAGAATATCTACAATTGACGTTCCTAGTTCCTATTGAAAATAAATATATCATTAAATTCTAATTAATATTTTATGAAAATAATTTAACTATCTTGGATAAAATATTACTTTAATATTTTCCAAATCCTCTATCTCGCAAGCAAAGCCCATTTCTTTTACATAATTTAAACAATCATTAAGACTTTGTTTTAATGAAAGAACTTCAGTTTTTTCCAGATTTTCCAGTACATTTAAGAACTTTATAACCATCTTATTAAATATTTCTTTATCTACATGATTCTGCATATTATTTTCCTGGTCAATTAAATTAAATTTAAAATAAAATATAATGACATTATTATGTAAAATTAATTGCACTCTTACTTTTTTATCAAAGTCCATTTTACAAAATTCTTCCATAATAGATGTTATTTTTTTCTTCATCTCTTGATAATTATCAATATTTTCTTTTGAAACACTTTCAAACTTTTCAGTCAACATACTTAGTTGATCAAGAATAAGATTTTTTAACGAAATCATTTCTTTTGACTTTACAAGATTTTCATTTAATAATTCTGATAATTTGTTTATCTAATATTGAATAAAAAAAAAAAAAATTAAAAATATCGATTTGTTAAACGCATATATATATATATATATATGTGTGTGCGTGCGTGCGTGCGTGCGTGCGTGCGTGCGTGCGTGCATGTGTGTATGATAGTTTTTAATTAAAAGTAATTTAATATTTTTATTTAGAAATATTTCAATTAAATTTTTGTATAATAAGAAAAAACAATACTTGGCTTTCAATTGGTTGAAAAATTTTCCATATATGCTTCGTTTTAAGGGACATTTTAAAAAACGACGTTTTCGTGCAGAAAAATATTGAATGCGACCGTTTGTAAACAAACTTACTAAGTAACCAGATATTTTTAAAAATAAGATAATTCAACACAAATATTAAGAAGGGAACTTATAGGTATCTTTGTAGATAATATATCTAGATATTTGAATAATCCCTAGATATTTTCGATATATCGATTTAGTCGAGCCACCAGCATAAAATATAAATTGTCATACAATTCTATGTTTCAGTTAACGTATTAAAATCCTGACAATATGTCGTATCAGATATATCGTTATTGGCAAATATAAATTAAAAAGACAATATGAGTTCATTTAATTTAAGCATTTCTTATTGAAATAAATTATAATAATAGGTTGCACTGGGTGCTGAGTGTTGATTATGTAGGGCACATCTTTAACGATAAAAGAAGAAAAGACAGTTACGCATATTTTTAATTCGAAAATTTGTCGGTTATTTTATGTTGGCAGGTATTTTGTGGAAAAATATTTAATGTATTTAAATAGTGATTTAATTCATTCCATTTTCGTAATTTATATAACAGTAGAATTGGAAATTATTAAAAACAATATTATATTAATTAAGATAATCGTAATAGATAAAATATACTGATATAAAATTATTGATTATCACAGACTGAACTATAGGGAAAAAAAAATTATTTCACATTGGATAAGAATATTTATATATATATATATATATATATATATATATATATAGACATATGTGTGTTTTTATGGGTGGGCATGCATTTACGAATAATATATTTTAAAATTAAACATACATTAGTTTCGTATTGGCGATTCAGGTGAGTAAGTTTATAATAATATATAAAATTAGATTGTTGTATTTAAAAACTTATTTCGAAATTATCATATTTTTCTTCCCGCATAATAATAATTTAAAAGAAAATTAAATACAGCAGCATTTTTCCTTATACGAATACCGTATTTATAAATTTTGAATACTAAATATAATTTTATATAATTTGTTGATAATCTAGACAAAATACAATAATTGTATTCGCCATATTTTAATATTAAAGCATCAAAATTGAAGTCATTAATAATGATTGAGAATAGTGAATTTTGTAAACGAAAGAGTATATTATGGAATTTATCAAAAATATTACTTACATTTTAATAATTTTCATTGATTATAATAATATTGCTCTGACTAATGTCTATTAAGATTTTGATTATTTTTTAAAGTTAATTTTTTTTTATAATTGGTATCATTATTTTATTAATGTTGATAAATGTATAATTTTATTTTTATATTTTTAAATATAACCGTTTATAAATTTTCTTTTAATCAATTAATTAAATTTATTAACAACCACATGCTTTTAATTATATATATGCGAATCAAACGAGTCTATAAATTTTGTATAAAATAAACATAATTGTTGAAGACTAGTTGATAGATTACCGACGTTCCTATTTTGAAATTAATCAGAAAAGTAAAATAATCATCTTAATTTGCTGTAAAATAGTTTGTAATTTTTCCCTTTAACTGAAGAAATTATCTATTTTTGTAATTTCAGGAATAATTAAACATTCAATACTTAATTTCCATGTAAAAAGTAAATTCGAGAATCACGAATAAAATTATATTAATACATATTACGTAAATTTTACATTAATATTACATAATGGTTATATTTTGAAGCGTAGTTGCTATTTTGTTATTTTATCTTATAGCCTTTACATTATTGAGTTATTTTTTCAGAAAACTTATCAATGCAATTTACTCAAATACATGAATTGAATATTAACAGTTCTTTTTAATAGTAATTTTTAATACATTCCAGTATTCAGTAATGAGTCATGAACCCTTTATTTTATTTTCATATGCATTTGAAAATGATTTCTTAAGTTTTTCCAATAAAAGTTTTAATTTATTATCAAATGAGTATTTAATGCGAAGATGCAGAACAGAAATTATAATTGATTACTTACATGATTGCTTGGCCTTATTGTATTGTAGTCACGTTACACCTTACGGGATAGTTTCTTTTATGTTCTTTATTTATTTATTCTTTATTATTTATCTATGGAATGAAACATCTATGCTTGTAAATTAAATCTAATAATATGAAAGGGTGAGCGCGTGAGTGCAATATTTATCATTATACGAATTATGCTCAATTCCATTTTAATTTTAAAGACACAATTTATACAAATTATTTACACGAAATTCATAATCAAATTTTAATGCGTTTAATCAATATTGATTTCCTATTAATGAAAAACTGGATATGTAGAATGCAAAATTTCAATGTTTAATTTATCGTGTCAAATCCATCATATATAAGGTAATTATTTTCATTTTGATCAACTTTGGAACTTTGGCTACTTGTATATTTTCTTAAAGTTTATATAACGTAAAGCTTTCTACTATAAAATATTAATACATTTAGGCTTAACATAAATTAAGATATTTTTTTAATTACACAATTATTTATATGTATTTATTTATATTAATTGACGGCTCATATGATAGATTACGTATTAATACTCATCATTGCCAAGTTCTTTAAGTTCATATTCGATTTAAAGATCTAATGTATAATATTTTATTTTTTGGTTTTAATATTGTATAATTAAAAATTTTAAATTCAAAAAACTTAATTTGCTGAATAATATGGGCATTAAGTAAAGTAGTTAGCTTATAATCAAAAGAATATTTGCAATAATTTTTATTAAAAGGATTTTTAGAATATTTTAACTATCTACTATCATATACACGTTTATAAATGTTCTTTAATTTTCTACCTGATAGAGAATTATGTATTTTAGTTAGACTACCAATAGTATTTAATTATGATGTTGATGGTTATATAAAATTAGAAGGCGAAATGAACGATATGCGAATGTAAAAGTTGTAAGAAAGATTATAAATTTTTTTAATATAATTTTAAAAATAATCGATTTCATTCGTTACTTTTAAATCAACAAAATTTAATGTTAAATAACAAAATAAAAAACGATAATTATAAATCTGTAGTTAGGTCATAGGATGAAAATCAAAGCACTATTAGGGTAAAAGATATAAGAGAGTGAGAGATGTTGAATTCATTACAGTAGAAAATCTCCGATAGCCATGATTTGCAGCGATGAATTTAGAAATGACTTTTGGGTAACACGTTGAGACTGTCAAAAGTTCCGATACAACTTTATAAAAACAGAAGTAAAACAGCGACAATGAGGATGGGATGGTCAATTTTTGGGCTGATTCATGGTTGTCTATATTCATCAGCCAGTCGGCGCGAGCTAAGAGAACAAGACGCAAGAAAAAGATATTAAGAGATTGATGAGGCGAGAGAGAGAGAGATAGAGAGAGATAGATAGAGAGAGAGAGAGAGAGAGAGCGAGATATGTATTGGTTGTATAGATACAAGCTCGTATATTTTTATTTATATCACGGAGAAGAGCGGCAGCGCGAAAGTGCCGCAACTTTAGTTCAATCACGTTTCTTCCGTTAGCGTTGAGGCGGAATCCTAATCCACTCATCATTATCATCTTCTCCTTTCAACGTCTTCGCGAGCGTTTTACACGGTCATACACATGTGCGCCACCCGGCTTGAGGTCAACGTATGCCGATGCTTCTGCGCTTCACAATGAATATTCGTGGGCAAACCGCGTCTTTGGAAATATGTAAGGTATGTCCGCATGTACACATTACTTCCTTGTAATGATTATCCAGCTTTTCTTTATGCTACATCGCCAATCTTTGTCAATTCCTCGGACAGTATCGACCTTGAGTGAAAAGACTATTGTCATGGAATGCGAAAGTCCTGCCGATTCTCGAGTTTCTGAGCGCATTATAATTGTACACGATGAGTTGAATTATGTATATTTAATTGACATAAAAATAGTTTTAAAAATATTATTATTATTTATAGATGTACAATACTTTAATATAATATTTTGATAATTGCAGGAGAACTTACTTTCATTAGTATTTATGAAATATAATTTCAGAAATTGTTATCCATGGAATTTATCGTACTAAAATATAAAATTCAATTCTCTTCAATGTGTATTAAAAACATTTATAACTATATCTAAAGATATATATAAAAAAATTCACATCTATATGCTTAATAATGTTTAATTATAGTATAATATACAGAAAAAATATTCTCACAGAGAGAAAGAGAGAGAGAGAGAGAGAGAGAGAGAGAGAGATTAAATGCACAATTTAATAGGTTTCAGGATATTAAGAATAAATAAATCGATCGAATTTTTATTTTTATATTGGTATTTATTTATCTAGATTATGTTTTAAACAGTAACTCTATTATGAAATTTTTAGAAAGTTATAAAATTTTCTAAATAAGAGACTTTCCATTTATTACAAATTAGAAAATTTTTTTATTACAAGTTTAACATATCTACGCCAATTGTAAAGAAAACTAAAAAAATTTCGCTTTTATTTTAGAATCCCTTTGCACAGAATCATTTAATCGCATTCCCAGTAGGATTTTATATCAACTATGTTTCTTGGTTACAGATTAATATTTTACTTACTTTTTACGTTTAGTCATTTGCAATTGAATATTTTAGGTCGTTACAGAGAAGTCAAGACCATAATTAATACATAAATGAGTGGGCTAATAGATAATTTTATAATATATAAAATGAATTTTGTTAATAAATTCTCATTCATTTTTATTGCCCGTTAAAATTGTTTTCTGAGGACTCTGAACTTTAACAGACGTAATTATCATGCAAATATTATACAATTCAACCTATGATTTCAATAAATTACTAAATAATACATATATAAGTATTTTCATCTACAATTACAATAGATTAAGAAATAGCACGGTATAAAAAAATTCTTAATCGAGAAGTCAAGTATTTATGGAGAAATGTACAAATTAGAATAAGAAATCGTTGAAATTTAAAATCGTCGAAAGTATTTATGTAAATTTCAGCATCCATTGCTAATATTAATGAAAAGGTAAATATGATAAGCGATTCGCCGTGCCGAGAAATGATGCACGGGATAGGAGCCACATTCGTCATGAAAATATGAAGATCCGCTACTAAGCATAACTTATAATATATACAATAAGAATACCAAAGGAATATAATACAATTCAATTTGTTTACAATCGTTACATACACAGTATTCTTAGATTTCATGTATACTTCTGTTTACCATACTCCGTTAAATCATAGCGCAAAAAAATATATTAATATCACAGTTGAGAAATGCCGGCGGACGATCGGCACATAAGAGAGAGCTTAGATCGATCGATATATCTTACACAAAAGTTTTTGCAGCGAGCATTGCTTATTACATTCGCGCGATATTTATCTTCTCGTAGCTCCTTTCTTCATTCATCCCTTATTTCTTTTCCTTTCCTTTCTTTTCTTTCTTTTCTTCCTTGTCTCTGTACAATCGTTTCCTGTCTTCATCTTCTCGCTTAATATAGAGATTCTGTGAAAAAGTTTCTTTTTCCTTCCCCTATCTATCTCTGTTTGAAGAACTTTTGCTTTTAGTGTCGTGTAAACAGATTAATTTTGACAGTTTTGAAGCGTGGAACGAGCGCCTTATCCCTATGAAAAAGACGCGTAATTTGATGGAGGCAAAATTGTGCATTCGCTTCGTGGCAGAATGAGAAGTCCTTGTCTGCACACGCGACAGCATTTCGAATGGATTGCAGTAGTTTCAGGACGGACGAATGGACTTGTAAATAACCGTTTCGTGCGGACGAAACCTGTCGCAGTTGTCTACATCGAGACGGATAACATTCATGTTCCCATCCCACACGTTCATCAGTCAATTTGGATACAGATGCAGCCGTTCGATTAATAAGCCACCAATTATTATGAGTATAATAGCTTTTACAAATGGTATCGACGGTTTTCCATATATTTACTTTAGTTATCTTTATTAGTCATTAGTTATTAATAGCTAACGATTCGGCTAGCGAGCAAACTAAGATTAAACATTCAAATAGAAAACTTATGTAGCGTTGTTTCGCACTGATCAGCAGCAGCGCGTTCAAAGACAAATACCGCAAATACGTATATTTGGCATGCGCTTAATTCGTTGTATATTCTTACGAAAAATGAAAAGTAACAGAAAAGGATAAGGAAACAAAGGAACACGAATAAAACTAGGACAATGGGCAGAGAGAGAGAGAGAGAGAAAGAGAGAAAGAGATGGTTGTGTAACCGCTCGAAACCATAACGAACGACGAGCCGATCCCCAAGGAATACTGCTTAGCGCTTTGGCCTTGGGGGCTCAGGAGCAGGCACACTCGAGTACGCGCATGTCCTTCCAGTTGGAGACCTTGAGCTTGGTAGCGTCGTTCTCGTCGAAGTAGAGTATCTCGAGCTCGGCGAGTTTGCTCGGGGCGCAGCAGGGTCTCGGCGCCTTCTTCCTATCCTCTTTCCAGATGAGGCTCTGAAGGAGGGCGTGATGGTGGGCCGGATTGTAGCGGGGCGGGCAGCGACCCTTGCAGTAGCCCGCGTCGAAGGTCTTGGGCTGGATAATGAAGTCGAAGCCCTCGAGATCCTTGAAGGTGACGGCCATACGGTGACGGCAGCAGCGTTTCGCGTCTCCGTGACACTCGGTGCGACGGCCTCGGTGGAGCGACATCAGCTGCTCTCGTGCCAAGGAGCCGATCGAACGTCGGCGCCGTGGCGCCCAGCTCTCCGGGTAGAGGGCATGGACGTTGAGAGCCGCGGAGGCGACGATGAAGCCACGCAGGTGACTCGCGTCCTGCCAATAGAACAGTCATCGGTCACGTTAATTTTATTTCTCTAACCTTCGGTCGATGCATTATCGTTTAGTTATTATTGCGTTTGTGGTATGTTAATTAATTATTTAAGTCGTAAGTTAAATACCTCGTGCACTACTTGGAGGGTCAGGTACAGAGGTGCATTGGAGTCGAGAGTAGCGGTGACCACGTCTGTGAGGTCGAATTCTAGCCAACGTCGTCGAAGAAACTCGGGCTCCTCGATTGTGCGATGATCGACGAGCCATCGCCGAGTTCCGGCTGCTCGTCTTCGGTAGAGCCGAACCTGCACGCTTCCCGATCTGGGCTCCTCGTTGTGATCGAGTAGTAGCCTCAGCGAGGCTGACTCCACCAGGACGTTCTCGGATTCGTCGACGGTTAGCGGAAAGCTGAGCGCGATACCCTCGCGCGTCCGCTTATCTGTCGGCAGATAATTGTGTTCCTTTTGTTACTTTCTACTTCTTCATTGTTATGAAAAACGGAATTTTTTACTTTTCGCTGGAGTGGCTTTGAAGTTTTTTATGACTCTCATACCATAGCTCTTCGAGCTGCTTACGTGTGTATTACATCGTAGAGCAGTCTAGTTCGATTTAGAGACATTAACGATAATCCTAGATGCTTATTAATAGCAGCGAATAAAAGTAAATGGTTTCTCAGGTAAAGCTTTCATCGATAAGCAATTTTATGCATTTTCTTTGAAAGTACAAAATGAAAAGAATACATTTTATGCCGATGGCTCTAAAACTATCGGAATTTATATTGTCCCGTATATTAATCCTATCTATTGGAGATCGAAGTCTTTAAGAAAAGATAAGGCTTCGATCTTTTATGCGATAGTGCAAAACTGCGCGCATTATTATTACGAATGATTATAATTTTATTAAGTTTTATTTTGCTTTTCAATACGTTATGTTTTATGTATGTATATATATATATATATATATATATATATATATATATATATATATATATATATATATATGTATATGCGAAATATTGGTTAACTTTGTATGCTCGATTACGCAAGGAGTCTATAAAAACATGAAGAAAGAATGTCTCGCCTGTTATTTACGCATCTTTAATTTTACAAAATTATCTAAAAAAATAATGTCTAGATACGAATCCATTAGTTAGTAGTTCTGGAAATAGAGAGGAAAAGGTCTAAATATCCGTAAGTCATTAAACGAGCAATCCAAGACCGAGGATTTGCACCGGTGAATCGTGGTAAGAAACTCGCTTGGCCAAACATTTGTACATCATTGTCTTTCGAAACTTCTTATCTGAATGGTGAAATGGTCGCGCGTGCCTTCACATAATAATAGATTTACAGGCTTTCGCACAAAAACGGCTCATCCGCCCTCCCTTGTTTAGCTCGAGGGCCGGCCGCCGCTGTCGGATAATGTCAAAAGAAAAAACGCTCATCCGTTGCGGATTCTCGAAAAAGTAGTTAAAGTACGCGCGCGGCACGGCGTAACGAATGTCGCGATATGCAGACCCAACTGTTACGGATACACACGTTCGCGCACTACTTACCGCCTGCTAACTTTTGTTTTGACATATTTTTCTGGTATATTGACAATCTTGATTGGCGTACTATTGGCATTATGCGCTGCGATTCTAAACTGTAGGACGTAAGGAAGAAAATTCCTAGAAGTTGGCGGGTTGAAAGTGGCGAGCGCTATGCTCGAAAGAAGCGCAGTAATTGTTCGATCGACGCTCGGCATGCGCGTCTGCTCGAATTGGACCAAAGAATAATCCGAAGCCAATGATATAAGGTTATTTAGCGTATAATTGTTCGTGACTAACGCATTATTAGGTGAAGCGAACGCGAATTTGGTTTCGAATTGGAATTACGATGCACGGGGCGTGTCCATAGAGACCATATTTGTACGCCAATTCTCTGAGTACTTGAGGGAATGGCTCGGGTGTACGTCATGTGTACGTCACGTGGCTGTCACGTGCAATCATACGACCACATTTAAAAATGCCAGAAATACGCGTTCGACGATTGAAGAATCAAAGGGAAGCTCTGACCTACAAACGAATCGATGTGCTTCCATTTAGTTGCCTCGATGAAAGGGTTGGCGTAAACATTCTACCTTGAGCGCGAAATATCTGTTTACACGAGGGAAATTTCTACGCGCTCCATTAATGAGTGGAGGAAAAGGAGGATGAGAAGGAGGAGGAAGAGGAGGAGGAAAAGGAGCTGCTCGAGGCGTATCCTCGAGAGAAGCTAAGTGCGTGAGAGTAGAGACGGCAGTGCGTTTATGGCTGTCTGTAGGCTCTCGCATCCGTAGGCCAATAATAGTCATCGGGCCGAAATAAAACTGTTGACGGAAAGCACCGACAGGGAATGCCAACTATGTCACCGTCCTGGCGCATACGTGAGAGAGAGAGAGAGAGAGAGAGAGAGAGGCACTTTGGTTTATAACGCCGGCTCCTCCAAATAAAAGTGGATGAATCAACGTATACCTGCCGCGTGATTTTTAAGCGTGATTTCTTCACGAGACGAGCGGGGAAGATCTCTACGAGAGGAAATGACGAGTTGTAATAGTCCGCTGCTGTCGGCACTTTCTCCTGGTAATTTTCTCCGACAATTGACTATTTCCAGAACTCGCGGAAAGTGCGTGGGACGAAGCGCCAGTCCGTGTATATGCTTCAGAGCCGGATAAACTCTATTAGATGACATGTTTCAAGCCATTCACTACCCTCTCGTTCGTCGATTTACTCTACTTTCTTAAGTAATTTTTATTGGCAGTTAGCATGACTTTACTGTAATATTTTTCCCGTGCTTAATAATTAATACAAATTTTTTATTTTAATTTTTGATTGGGTATTGCGTCGATACTTTCGAAAATTGGGTTGGGATCAGCTTTATTTGAAAGAATATAAAGCCATTGTAAGGACTTGTTTCGTACAACTAACAAAGTGTTAACAAATGTCAACGTAATTGGAAATTCTTATAATAAATTTTCATTATTATTTAAATGTTAGAGCCACGATAAGCGCCAATTATAATTGGATAATTGCAAGATTTAATATTGTTCGTTTATTTAATTAGCTTACGCAATAATTGATTAGCTTCGTGAGATCGGTAATGATGAAAATTTTTAATTATTTTTTGTTTGTTTTTTTTTTCTCTCTTTTTTTTACTAGAACATCAATTTCATAGACAAATGAAAGTTATTCATCGTTATGTTCAATCTTTAAATTAAAGTTTTTTTCGATACAATTTATTTCATATATTTCAATTCTAAATCCGAAACCATTATATTTAGAAGAATTTTTTTTCTTACTTTCCTTACCAACGTTTTGACAACTCGTTACCCGATTTTCTATAAGATTCATTAAATATAAAAAAAAAATAAATATAATAAATTAGCCACTATACTTTTTTACTTCTGTATTTAGGTAACGTTTAGGTAACTGAAGAAGTATTATTGGTATTTTATTTTATTTTTTAATTGCTCTATTTACCATAGAAATATTTATAATTTTTCCACTTAATTCGTAACCATGGTAGATTTAATAAATATTACTTAATAGTGAATTAATCGACTTTGTCCTTTAAAACTGGAACTGTAGTCGAGAAAAATATAAGTTTCTAAATACCTCATATGATCTGACATCTGTACTCATATTTACACGCTAATTTATGAAGAAAAATTTTACGGTTTGTCCAATTTACAATAGAATAAGATAAAGGGCTAATAATCATTATATTTTTATTGCAAAGAAATAAACAATAAAGACATTCCAACGTATACGATTGTTCGTAAAGAAATCCCTTAAAGTGTCATGCGGATGATTTAGGGTGCGCTAAGAAATAAAAAAGAGGAATGCTTATTGGAACGAAGTATTTTAAAAGGGTTTTGACGTTGCTCAACTCATTGGTGGAGTAACTTTCTCCGTCACTCTTTTCGGTGCAACTTATGTGTACGACTATAAGAAAATCGCGTGTCGCTTTAAGATTAGAGCGCATGCTTAAATCGTCGTGGGCTTGGTGCCTTAACGGAAACTATTAATGATTGGCTTGAGCATTATCGCGGTGTCGACGTCGATAGGAATGGGTATGTCTCGATATCTGAAGCTCTATTTGATGACGTCACCTCTCGAAAATACTGGCCCGACTCTTAGACAAAATATGAAGATCTGTTAATAATTAAAGAAACATGATTCATACTTCAAAGCTTCTCGGAATTATTGTAGAACGGTTTAACATGTTTTTATATACACAATAAAAGTGCAAGAATAAAAGTAATTAATAAAGAAAATTATGGTTTTATATCGACAATTTATTGATTCTAGATGATTGGCAGCGATCTTATTTTATAAGCCCATAAAAATTCATTTAGGACAAGTTATAGTTACTTTTATTTTCAATTTTCATAATTTTTATAAATGCAAATACCATATGTAGTTTCATAAGCCCAGAATAAGCTTACATTATCTTGACAATATTTGCAAAAATTAATTATTCTTGTTTTTTTTTATTTTACAAAAAAAGTAAGTCAATTATATCAAATATAAAATACTATTTTTTTTAACATATGTGCGTGTATAAAATCTAATAATCAATGAGAACATTTGTATATTTGTGTTATTCTTCTTCAAACATTTATAGTAATATTTTATAACACACGCAGGTAATTTTATAGTAGTAATTATGAATTTGAATTTGTTTTTAAAATATGTAATAATTTATAATATACAATATAAACGTTTTTTAGATATAAGATTTGAACAACAGATGCAGTATGAATAAATAAATAAATAAATGCAGTAGGAATAAAATATCATATTTTAAATCAATTTTCGTGTAAATTTCAACATAATTATTGATTACGATCTTATTATAATTTTACAAATGGCATTAACTTTTAAGCTATTCTTTTTTTTTTTAATAGGGAGAGTTTCCAAATGGTTCAAAATCGAGAAATATTCATAATTTTTATTATAATAATTAGTGTTAAAAATGAACTGCGTTATTCGAATAACCTAATTGAATTTGAACGAAGGTTGTTAAAAATATAATAAAATATTATTCACTATAAAATGATCAAAATTTTCATTAGATACCAGCATCAAACGGTATCTTTTATTAGAAGGGTTTGAACTATAATATATTAATACTGAGATTGAATTTCCATTAAGATTACACGCTGTACTATATTTTTATATCCTACATTAAAAAATCGATTTGATATAAACTTGATTGTAGGTCGACGTGTATATTTTGACAAAACAGATTTGTAAATTTAACTTTTATGTACTACATTTTCAAGTTATCAGTATACAGTACATGTAATTACAATAATATTTTATGTTTTTTTTTAATTTTTCACTTTGTACGTACTTACATTTATTTAAAATATCGTGAAAAATAATTTATAATTTTATTCTTATGCGCGATGAATATAACGATCTACTTTATTGAATTATTCTATAATATTATAATTATTTAATTATCAGTCCACTTAAAACTTATGTAATTTCATATATCGAACGATGAATTTTACTTAATTTTCTTTTCATCTACAATACTTTTTTTTTCTTTTTAAATTTTCTGCATAGCACGTGTCTACGATAAAGAATGGAGGGAAGAGAGAAAAGAAGAGTGAACGCGCGTGAGACAGTAAATGAGGATTATGTGAATACTTTAAATGTAATTAAACGAGGAATTCACTCACCTGTTCCATACATTGTAAAAAGTCTCCTTTGCCGTGTGTCTCCTTCGGTCGAGCGACGTAACCTCGTCAAGTACTCCTTGTGTGCTCTCTCGTACTCTATTTGACTGACGTTCGCCTATAATAGAAAAAGCGCAGAATTGCGCCTATTAGAGCCTTTTACTTTAAATGCGCTCAGTTTTTGTTCAAAGCTATAAAATCGGGATCGTTTTATTTATTTTTTTGTTATCGCTTTTTCACCTTTATTTTATTAGCTTGTTAACCTCTTCCATCAGACTTTAATTTTTTCATTAATTTTTCAATCCAGTTTAAGAGTGCCGATGAAAATTAAATTATTTCACAAATGTAGCTAATTATACCTAGAAATGATAAAAGTAATACAAGTTATGCTTCTTAACTTCTTTTCATGATACTTAATAAATAAAATAATAACTTAATTCGACTTTTAATAATCAACTTTCACCAATCAATAAATTTCAACGGTATTTCAGATTTTTAAATTACCGTGCACGCATCATTTATTATTTTTATAGTGAAAAATTCGGGCATCATTTTAACGGCGTCTTCATTACACGCATAAAGCTCATTATTAAAAAACAATAAGTGATTTTATCTTGAACGTGCAGTCACTCTGAAATATCTGAGAGAAATCATAATGCTCCCACGACGCGCACTTCAGACATGGACTAAATACTTTCTAAGTGTACATAGTCATTTCAACTAAAAGGTTTTTCTCAAAACTTGAGGGGAGGAGGACGCGCGCATAGAAATAGTCGCAGTGGCTTCTACTTGAAACGAAAGCCTGTCGTTGTAACGCGCGCAGGCGTTCCTCCGACTAATATCGCAATGCACCAGGACCAAAACAATGCACTAGTCGACATGAAACGAGGGACAAAAATGGTTGGGGATGTTGTCGAACAAAACAGCTGGAGTGTAGGGATTCGAGGAATCTCCTGCCAGGATGATTATGTAAAAGCAAGGTGTATGTCGCCGACGAGGTTTGAGGGTCGCGGGGAGGGGAGGTTTCGTTTACGCTTCTTTTTCGTCGTAAAGATGCAAGGATCGCGTCTCTATTCAGCAAGGCGACGTAAAAGCATTAGTGCTTTGCATCATTCCGACATGTGTACGGCAGCTAGATTTTGTAATCGTATTTACGAATTAAAATGAAAAATTCTCCTGCGTGCGCGAGATAATGATCTCCGAGAATATTTTCGTTGACATGAAGGTTTTCACCTATAATTTTACATAATGATATATAACGTAAACTTGATGCTTTGTCCACGCGACGCAAGTACGTATTTGGATAATTTACAAAACTTATGATGGTATTTCAATATTTAACCTTCTCATGCTTCATCTATTTCGAAAAACACAATTGTAATTATTATTAATATGTGTCTATTAGTTACAATTAGAGTCATTAATAATAATTGTCACTATTTGATTGATAAAAACGATATTTTTTTGTAATGTTTTGTCCAATGATGTTATTGATTAATGTATACAAGGTCTAAAATTACGTGTGTTCTGTGAATAATGAGCAACGAGATATAGAACATTAATTCCGAAATTCAATCGACGGCATTTAATTGTAAGAGCGTATGTATAAATTATTATAATTTACTCTTTAATTATGTTTATTATTTCTGTTTAACATATCAATGAATAGAATGTTTTTTGGTTGGAAGATAAATGTATTATCAGTTTCGTTTTCTAACAAAGTATTATGCAAGTTTATCGATGATTAATTCAATTCTTAAGAATTGTTTAACATTGCTATAATTAATATAAAATATCATTGGAATCATAAATATAAGATTATGTCCAAGGACTTATTAGAAATGCGATACTACAGATAGATATGAAATTGAAATGTAAGTTTCAGCTCTTAATTAAAATTACTCCATTTAAATTAAAGTCGTACAAAAATCCTATTAGTCCATATCAATTCAGATTAGAATGAAAATGAAAATATAAAAAGAATGTATAATTCGTAATTAGATTAGTAAAAGAAATAAGTTATTTTTGATAAGCTTAACAAGACTTCATTTGCTTAGGGAATTTTTACAGATTTTATCAATGTGAAAAGTTGAATTGTGGCTTTTGGTTGCACAATTTCCTACCGAGGCAATAAAAGTGTTCACCAATTTGAAAATATTCACACGTGATTATAATCACACTTCAATTATCATTATACTTTCCAACGATGTTTACAGTTAGTTGTTGTTTGTAGCGCATAATAAAGATGGGAAACATCGTAAATTAAGGGGAAGACGGTGATAAAATTATAGATTGAGAATAAAAGAGGGAGCGAGTGAGAGAGAGAGAGAGAGAGAGAGAGAGATAGTGAGAGAGAGGATTAGTGCTAACCGAAGATATATTGCGAATATGTAGCGTTGAGACAAATTTTGATGAGGGAACGAGAACAAGAAGTGAACGATGAAATGCAGATACAAGGAGAGTGATTACAGATGAACGACTCTTAAGCAAAGAAAAAAAAGGATTGATATAATACGAAGCATGAAAGTGGCGTGTGTAGAAAGACATGTAGTACCGACGACAATCTCTCTGAATAAGGACAACTGTATATTGTACTTTAAGAGTCTGAAATATGGCCGGGGGTGGGGAGGGAGGGGGGGGGGTGAGATGCGCATCAATTTCAAAGGCTTAAGTTTGATCGTTCCTTGAATCACAGAGTACTGACTTCCTGATATGTGACTTAAACCTCATATCCATCTGTTCACTCGCTTTACTAATCAGCCTCCACTTTCCATATCTTCCAGCGTCTCTAGATTTTATACGTCCAATCAATTATAATTAGGATTTGAATGAGGAATTGACGTATTTTAATAATTAATCTGGGTATTAATTTTATTATTTCGATTGTAGAAAAAGAGATTCTGTAGGCATATCATAGGAATAAAAGAGTAGTTGGAACGAGAGCGATTATTATTGTATTGTGCTATTGATTTATCGAGATCGTGCAACTAACAATTCTATCGAGCGCATAGTTCAAACAATTGATAAACAGAGAGCTTACAAAGTATGAAAATTACGTGTAGAACTGCTTCAAAAGCTTACCAAGTGATAAGAGGGAAAATGCAAATGACAAAAATATTTGAATTATGTCAGCGCTCGGCTTAATAACGATTGTAACTATGAATAAGAAAAAGATACATTTTCAGCTGCGTACAAAAGTACATAAGCCCTAAAAATTTTCTTAAATTCCACCTTGACTCGGCCTACTCCAAGAAACAAGCGAAAATACAGATCTTTTCAATGACCAGTCATTAATATTTCAAAAGGCTCTGTCGAATGCAAAGCAGGCATGTAAGTACAATATACATGTAAAATAATAGTCCCGGCCACTTTTCTTAACGTTCTTTTCACTATGGCGCGCGCAAACTTAGAGGCGAATTGCAATACATTTCCACACAGTCACAGCTTCTCGGGAAGAAAAGGACGTCGTTCGCCGGCAGTAGTGGCAGTGGCCAAGGCTTATCGCGCATTCTTTCGAAAGCGCACAAAGCCAACCGCCGGCCGTTTACTCGGGCCATTGCCGTCTGTTAATGCACCGTGTGTTTGCGCACGCGAGAGAAATGCGTATCATCGAGAAAGACCGCCGCCTCTGGTCATTATTGGCAGGTGTGGAAGCGAGGGGGAGTACATTGTTGTTCCATCTCGGCCGCTTTTGTGTAGCGCTTGCGCTAGACTTATGTACGCGGTATCATAATAAGCGAGTGTGTATTTACACGAGCGAAAGATTGAAATAGCCCGATGGCGGGGGAGGAGGGGCGTGTGTGTGTGGAGGGAGCTTTACGACACAGTTTAGTTGCATAGTTATTCGGGTCGAGCTTACCAAGTTGTCGCTCTTGTTCCCGTGATTGATTCTTCTACAGTCTAAGTGTGTGCATGTGTACGCTTGCTCATTGAGACTTAATCAATATGCCTACTTTCTGCAAGTTCTCTTTCAAAAAGAAACTCATCACCAGCTACTTTGCTTTTACTTTTAATTTTGTTTACATGGAGACCGATTCATCACGTTAGAATCTAATTTTCCTAACACAGCGAGAGAATTGAAAGTGTGCTTGGTGATTAGTTATAGTTTGCTTATGCGGCGCTTAAATTTTCTCTCAAATAATTTATTATGAGCCTTCTTACTGGTATAATTTATTTAATAAGTCGCCGAAAATGAACCTTAAGCACATCGTGCTTAAGGATTAAAATGACTAATGCAAGATTATTTAGAATATATTGTTGTCGTATTATATGAGAGAAGACTATTATTATAACAACTTTCGATTACGATTAAGAAATTCAAATAAATGTTTAACGAATGATGGATATTAAAATATGGTTACACGCTTTCTCGTCGCCAATCGCAACGGATAATTTTTATTGAATTTGCCGATTCAGAGGTTAGGAAAAGTATGATATTTGAATTCTCAATTATAATTTCTATTAAAGAGAATGTATAATTTTATTGAATATAAAATTAAGTGCACGAGCTTCACGCACGTAATTGAATTTAGCATGTAAAATAACTACCAAATGTTTAGTGAAATATCCATAATTCTCGTATTAGGCACATAATAATTATATTAAATAGATATTAAAAAAAGTTTAATATAATTAATTAATTAAATCTAGTTAATTATGAAATGTTTACATTGAATAATGAAACTATTATATTATAATGACGAATAATCAATAAGAATTTGAAGAGAAAAACTTGATAGAAAATTTCCAGGTTGCTGATAGTACGACGATGATAAAACGATGTAAAAATGCAAATAAAATTTATATTATTTTCCATTCAGAGGCGTTTGCATTTAAATTTAATTTAAGTAATTTAACTTTATTTAATACTAAATTTATGGAGCTGTGCATCGATTGTTTATTCCATAATATTGCATCGGTTCTGTCATAGCGAAACTTGAAACACATTAAAATATAATGGTCTTTAAATATTTATCTAAACCCTATTTATGGACTATAAATGATCATATTTAAGTTTCATAAAAAAACTTTTAATATTATTGGAATAAATATTTAATATACGAAGATTGCATAAATTATAGCCAAATTGTGATAAAGACGATCTTGTCAGGTTTCAAA